TTACCTCACAGGGTGTGGTAAGAATTAGTGATAAAGTACGTGAAGTGTCTGGAGCAGATCCTGGCACCTAATAAGCACTCTCTAAATACCTGATGAAAATAGTGCTGACAATCTCACTCGCAATGACTGGAAAATACTGGGAGAAAAATTAAAAAGAAAGGCTTTTATTTCTGTTCCAGTTTCGTGCTTAGGCATGGACTCTCAGATATTTTTCTTATCACATTTTTATCAGGAAAAATACACTTGTAAAATTTGTCCCTTTTCTGTCCCCCTGACTTCCAAACTATACATCTTTCATGTGTTTCTAATCTTAATTCCCAGATCACCATGCCTGGAGCTATCCAAAGCCTGAAAACTCATTCTTGATTCTTCCATCTCTCTCCACTTGCATATTTATCCAGCCACCAAAATCCCCCTGGCGCTGCTCTGCCTTTGATAGCTCCCTCCTTCTGTCTTTCCTTCCAACAGTATTTACCGAACACTTACTTTGTGGCAGCCACTGTTCTGCAAACTAAAAATACAGCCATGAGTAACAACAACAACAAAACCCCAAATCCCTATCTTCATAGTGATTATGTTTTTATGAAGGGATACAGGATAAAAAGCACAATGTATTATATGTCATTTGGTGTTCAGTGCCATGGAGAAAAATAATGCAGACAAGAGGGATAATGCATGCGCGCGCGCGCGCGCGCGCACACACACACACACACACACACACATATATATATATATTGGGAGAAGTTTGCTATATCAGTTAGGGTCAGGCAATCAGCTTAGGTTAAAAGAACAGCTCCCCAGGAGCAGGCAGGTAAGCCTGGAGTTGAAGGGAGAGGTCCACAAAGAGATAGAAAAGTGAGAATTGTTGGTGTATAGGTGGTATTTAGAGCCATGAGAATAGATGAGATCACTAAGGGCAAGGACATAAAAATTGAAAGAGGTCCAAGGACTTATCCTTGGGGCACTCCAACGCAGGACAGGGAGGTGAGGAAAAGCCAGCAAAGGTGAATGAATCAGAAGGAAACCCGAAATCATGATGTCCTGGAAGCCATGTGAAGAAATCAAGGAGAATCAAGGAGAGGGTATGATTAATTGAATGACCAAATAGATAAAGTAAGGTCAGAAAGTGGGGACGGACTATTGGATTCCGCAATATGAAGTCACTAATGACCTTTGGTAGAGCCATTGAGAAAAAGAAAAAAAAGAAGAAAAAAGATAAGAAAAAAGGATTGCTTTGGAGGGTTCAAGAGAGAATAGGAGGATGGAAATTGAAAACAGTATCTATAGATTTTTAAAAAGGAGTTGTGTTGAATAAGGAAACAGAGGGTGGGACAGTATTTGGAAAGGATATAGGATCAAGAAAAATTTTTGTTTCATTTTATCTTGCTTTGATTTTCAGATAAGAAGATTAATGGCCTATCTGTATGAGAGGAGAAATCTGAAGATAGGGAAATTGACAATGGAAAAACTACAATTGCACTGCCTATGAATACCAAGGGGAGATGAGTTTTGGAGTCCAAATGCAGGGACTGGCTTTATCAAACATAAAAGCAAGGGCAGTGCCTCCATAATAACAGGGAAAGCTGAGTAGACAGTGCAGACGCGGGTAGGTGGAGTACCTGCAGTGGTGGGAGTACATGTGGGTTCTTTGTTGAAAGCTTTTATTTTTTTCAGAACCAGACATTTCTTACAACATTTCTATTCTGAAGCCTAAACTGCACTATTCCCAGAATTTATTTCCCCTTTAACTGTGTTTGTATGGAACATTACAAATTACAGAGCTGTCAGAATAATTATCAAATTATAACTATGTATTTGCCTTTCCCCTCATTTTCCACTATAATGTGAGCTTAATCTTCTTATGCAGCACCTGATACAGTGTCTGTATCAAAACAGACACTCACTAATTTGACTAAATGGATACATGAATAAAGCATATCTGCTTGCATCTGGTTCTTTCTTAAACTCCATTAAATGGCATTAAAATATTTGTAATCAGGGCATACTCTAAATGTCAGTACTATTATTAAGCATATGCAACATAAGCCAAGCATATGATAGAGGATTTGTCATACAACAGAAAGAGTAAAGAAATTCTTCCCCATGAATATTTTATACACTTTGGACAAAAAGTTAACTTGCAGGTTGTCATGATGCCATTAAGTATGGAACCTGAAAATGACAGTCCCACTACCCACTGTACTTCCATGGCATAAGGGGCATGTTCTATTTGAACACATTTTAAAACTCTCACATCATTTAGGGCTTTCAGCACCAGGAAGTATTTTTAAGAATTTCAAGCAAAATAAAAACTAACTGAAATTTGGAATGATAAAAAGTTGACTTATTACTCAAAACATTATTTCTATATGCCCTACCTAGTTTAGCTCAGTGGATAGAGCATCAGCCTGCAGGCTAAAGGGTCATGGGTTTGATTGCAGTCAAGGGCACATATCTCAGCTGCAGGTTTGATCCCCAGCCCTGGTTGGGGCAAGTGTGGGAAGCAACTGATGAATTTTTCTCTCTCACATGGAAGTTTCTCTCTCTCCATCTCTCCCTCTTCCTTCCACCCTCTCTAAAAATCAATGGAAAAATATCTTTGGGTGAGGATTAACAAAAAATATATATAATTTGTATACTGTTCAGTGTTGTTACCTATAAAATTTAGGTAACTACCATGAGCCATTCAGAAACAATATCTGTGCATCCTTGTAACATAGGCCCAGATTTTCCTTAAAGAGGGATTGCTGAATTTTTCTCATCTGTATACAGACACGGCTGTGCCACATGCCGTGGCACATCTAATTCTGTAATCTAGTCACAAACCCAATAAATGGGTTAGACCCAGAACATGACCAGAAACATTAAATTCACTCCATTATCACCAACTATTTTCCCACAGAGCACTTATGTTGCTAGGCAGTTCTGCCAAAGGAAAGCTTGTAATTAATGATAAAAATAAGGCTTTCTTTGGTCTTATCTCACATATACACACGCACACACACAAATACATGCATATATGAATAATTTTCCCAAGACAAACTAGAACTCAATTTTTGATAATAAAATATTGTTTTTAATGTGTACATTTTTATTATTTAAAATCAACTTCTCTCCAATAATTCATATAAATAATTAAGTTATGATCATGGAGTGTATTCTTAGTAACTATCCACATGAGGAAAATTTAATTCTGCATAATTCCCAAATACAGAGCTTAGATGATATAATTATCCTTTTTCTTATGTTACAGGGATAAATATCCACAGTAAAGCTTATTTAGTGCCATTCCAAAGTACTATAAGCAGCAAAGGCCATGAGATTGTGACTGAAAAAATTATATAACATTTAAAATTAATACAAGGTAGATTAAAATATTGATAAAAATGAAAAATAAAGTTAAATCACACTCCTATAGTATTTACTGTCTATGATATTAATTTCTCTAATATCCAATGCTTGACATAAATACTTTCAATTTTAAAAATATTTTAATGCCCATGTCTTGTCTCCTTAGCTAGAATAGAATGTAAACCCATAAAATGTGGTATATAAATACAAAGGAATATTATTCAGCCATCAAAAAGGAGATTCTGCCATTTGTGATGTGACAACCTGAATGAATCTTGAGGGCATTATGCTAAGTTAAGTAAGTCAGACAGAGAAAGAAATAATGTATGATATCACTTACATATGGAATCTTAAAAAAGAAAAAGAAAAGGCCAAGTCAGAGAGACAGAAAGAGTGATGAATAACAGGGATTGCAGGCTGGGGGAAATGAGGAGATATTGGTCAAAGGGTACAAAGTTAAAAGATTATAAGTTATATGATTAACAAATTCTGGAGATATAATGTATAGCATGATGATTATAGCTAATAACACTACTATATACATGAGTGTTGCTTAGAGAGATCTTAAATGTTCTTGCTACAAAAAAGAAATGGTAATTATATGACAGATTAGAGGTTTAGCTAATGCTGTGGTGATAATCATTTTGTAATAATTAAATGTATCAAACCAACATATTGTTCACCTTAAATTTACCCAGTGTTATATGTCAATTATATCTCAATAAAGTTGGGGGGGGGGGTGGAGAAAAAGAATTTTCCTTCAGCAACTATTTGTCTATCCTAGAAAAAAATGTGTACAGAAAAAGCAAGATATATAGGATATAGAATATCTGCTTGATGTTTTCCTTTATTTATCAACTAGAGGCCCGGTGCATGAAATTCATGCAGGGGGGCGGTGTGTCCCTCAGCCCGGCCTGCACCCTCTCCAATCTGGGACCCCTTGGCGGATGTCCACTACAGGCAGTCAGACATCCCTCTCACAATCCGGGACTTCTGGCTCCTAACTGCTCACCTGCCTATCTGCCTGATTGCCCCTAACCGCTTCTGCCTGCCGTCTGATCGTCCCCAATTGCCCTCCCCTGCTGGCCATCTTGTGGTGGCCGTGTTGTGGTGGCCGTGTTGTGGCGGCCATCTGGTGATGACATTGCGTGAGGGCACTGCACTGGGGCGTGATGCCACCTAGGCTTTTATTATATGGGATTTTTAGAATAAGTTGGTGCTCTAGAAAATTCTAAAAGTGACAAATGAGATTTTGAAAAAGATATCAGTAATGAGTTTTGGATTTTAATGTAGTTGATGTGTATGGAGCCAGTCATTATACTTTTTGATGCTCAAATTGTTGCATCTTTGGCCAACGGAATCTGTTTCAGTTTCTATTACTATATAACAAACCACCCTAAAGTATAACTGGTTAAAGTAACAAACAAACAAAAAGACCATTCTGACTTCATTGTGCAAAATATTGTTCTCCCATCTAATCCCACATGAGAACAAAGCTAACCTTATCCCAAATTTAGAACATTTAATTTGAGATAAAATAAACATGGCTTGGATTTCAGGAGGATTCATTTAACAACAGAGATATCCCCCAAAGTATCCGAATTAGAGAACTTAACAAGAACATTATATATTTTAATTTTTCAACTTACCTGATATAAATAATCTTCAAATACAAAATAATAATCATCATTGCTTGCCGTCAACTTCACATCCTAAAATTAAAAGTAGAGACTACTGAAAACAACCTAAATAAATATGTCTATAGTGCTAAGACATAAATGTAATATCTGGAAAGAATACTAAAATGACTTTACTACTTTATGTATGACTAGAGGTCTGGTGTACGAATTCATGCACTAGTGGGGTCCCTCAGCCTGGCCTGCGGGATTAGGCTGAAACCGGCTCTCCGACATCCCCTGAGGGGTCCCAGATTGTGAGAGGGTGCAGGCCAGGTTGAGAGACTACACTGGTACACGACTGGGGCTAGGGAGGGACGCGGGAGGTTGGCCAGCAGAGGAAGGACCACAGGAGGGCTCCAAGGTGTGTCGGGCCCATCTTGCTCAGTCCTGATTGGCTGGACTCCAGCAGCAAGCTAACCTACCAGTCAGAGCATCTGTCCCCTGGTGGTCAGTGCACATCATAGCGAGCAGTTGAGCAGCCTTAGCATATCATTAGCATATTATGCTTTGATTGGTTGAACGGATGGCCAGACACTTAGCATATTAGGCTTTTATTATATAGGATTATAAACTTCTCCTTTAAATTTTATCACTGCTCTAAGTTTACTTGACTAATATAGAATGTGATATATTATTTGACATTAAATTGCTGACACTTTTAAGGTTTCATTAGTAATTCCTTAGTATTTATTTCAATTCTATCTCCTTTTAACCCGATATTTAGGCATCTTAAACAGTGGAAAAACAGATGTCATCATAATATCCAAAAATAATCATAACAATTTGGCCCCAAATTACTGCTCCAATCTCACCCTCCACTGTTCAGGTCCACATTCTTGCCATACTCTCAATATACAAAAAATCTTCCATGCCTTTGCAATCATTCACTTGCAAGGCATCACTTATTACAAAAATCAAAGTTAGACAATGTTTATCTTTAAGAAGTCTACAACCTCATCAGCAAGAAAACATACAGAGTAGAAGAATGGGAACAATTACAAAGAAGTACTGAAGAAATCCTTGATAATATTGGTCAGTCTATAAAATTCAAGTGAGCTGTTGAGCAAAGCAGCAAAAAGAAGATGAAATGAGTATGGATGACGCTGGAAGTGGCTGAAAGTGTGCTAGGTCTGGAAAAACTTAAATACACCAATTAAGAGAGAAGAAAGGGTCCAGTCTGCTATATCAGAAGACAACATGGGCAGAGAGGGAGATCCACATTCTCCACAGGGTGACATGCCCTCAGGGGGTGACAATTGGTTCTTGGGGGCCAAAAAGTTTACATATTACAATGGTTTGTGGACCTCCAAAGCTCATCCTTATGCAACGAAATCTTTTCTTTGGTATTTAATTTTTACATTAGAGAAAAATTAGTTATCTTAGGGGATAATAAGGGAAAGGTTGGCAAACACTGCTATAAGCTGTCAGGTCATAGTAAGTGATGAGAAACTGTAGACGATGTGGATAAAACATACATTTGTAAAAAAAATTCAGTCCAGAGAGAAACATTTAGTAATTTAGCTTAGTGAGGGTTTGATGATGTTCTATATTTAATATTGCCTTGTTCCATTCATTCCTTTAACCACTAAAATAATTGACTTTATTTTCAGTTAAATTAAAAATGAGTCTTTGCCAATGGGAGCTGTAATGAAACTTCAAATAATTTTTTAAAATGCTCATTCCCTCAAGGAATGATTTTAATAACATTTGGAGTTGTTTCAACAAGATCAGCAGAGATCAACTAACACAAATAAGGATTAATCAGTGACAGATTTCTTCCTAAAAACACTCATGTTGTGGACAGTCAGGATTGATTCTGCCAAAACTTATATTCAATTTGTCAGACACAAATTGTTTACCTCTTTCTCACAGCAGATTTTATTTACTGATTCAAACTGAAATTCATCCTGGCAGTAAAGGCAACTCTCCCTGATTTTCTGAACTCCTCTTGTGAGTCTTCTCTTATTTGAATAGGAAAGGGGTTGAAGGTCTTAGAGCCAAAAGATCTCTTGCACTCTTGCTAAAATAAATCGCCTGAGCACAATCATAACCTCAAAATTAACAGTGGTATCTCTGATCCAAATCTATGTAAAAACTCTGAGAATTGAGACTTTTCATCAAAAGACTCTCCCTCTTAACTCTGCTCATCTTTGCTCCCTGAGAGCCTAGTGGTTAAAAGTGTGGCCAAGAAGTCAATTTATCCAGATTCAGATGTTGTTTTTGCTACGTAATATGTAAATTAAAACAAGTTTCTTTACTCTCCCTTTACCTTGGTTCCCTCAGTTGTAAAATGCTAAAAATAATAGTACTTCCTGTTTTGTTATAACCCGTGCCACTATTGGCTGGTGAGTAAGGGAATGAGGTCAGTATAATATGGAAATTGTGCTGGTCCATATGCAATTTTTCTTTCAAAAAGGGGAGCTAAAACAGCAGGAGTAGAATTGCAGTCATGAAAGGATGATCCCTATTACTGTATTTAAGAATGTTAAAGATGAATGACTGCACTGGGTGCTCCCTCTCCAGAAAGGCACACCCAGCCTTCGTTGCTTTACTTCCTCTCATGCCCACCTTGCAGCAGCCTCTATAGCCCAGCCTACCACTTCAATCTACATTATTTCAGCATTTCTACTTTATTATTTTTGTACATTTTTAATAGCTCCTGAAGGAGCAGCCTGCCTGAGCTATCCAATTCATCTGCCAAGCTACCAATCATTGTCCTTGTTAGTACTCTGGTTAAAAAATGCAAAAGCTACCCAACCCTCTTTTTCCCATAAGCTCTATTTTTAAAAAAAAATATATTTTATTGATTTTTTATGGAGAGGAAGGGAGAGGGACAGAGTTAGAAACATCGATGAGAGAGAAACATCCATCAGCTGCCTCCTGCACACCCCCTACTGGGGACGTGCCCGCAACCCAGGTACATGCCCTTGACTGGAATCGAACCCGGGACTCTTCAGTCCACAGGCCGACGCTCTACCCACTGAGCCGAACCAGTCAGGGCAGCTCTATTTTTTTAATGCATGATTTTGTAGAATGCAATTTTTCCCAAGAAAAAAAAATACATTTATAACCTAAGTGCTGGTATCTGCTACTCTTAAGGTAGCTGTCAGAATCAAATGACAATCTATGTAAAGAGTTTGGAACACTCTATGGCACATAGTAAGCAGTCATTACTCATAGTTGTCATGTTCTCCCAGACAAATCTTCAGGTCCTCACTGTGTAATCTTCTCTTCCCCATTTCTGAGACCTGAAATAATATACCCTTCTCTTCTATCTTACAAGTTCTAAATTTAAAATACAACTGTTTTAAATAGCCTAATTATTAATTCAGAGTTAGTCATACTCTCTATCATGCTTGTAGCATCTACATCTCAACTTCTTATCAGATACCTGGAGACAAAAACTCAATGCATCCCTATTATAACACTTGAGACGTGCTTATCCATGTCTAGAAGCTAAAAGAAATAAAAAATAAAAAATGACTTCAATACAAGATAATAAACAAGTAGATCCACAAGAATGAGATAAATAAGATAAAAATATCATAGTCTGATATTTCTTTCAGTTGCTTTTTAAGTTTGTGCCATAAACTTGAAATTTTAAGGATAAAAAATGGCTATCATTCTCTTAATTAAAAAAACTGGGAGGACCAGGAAAGGCTCATGAGGACAGGTTCAAAAGGAAAGAAGATAACATTGGATAGATACTGCGAAATTTGAAGGTCAACCTTAATTTTATAAGTATAATGATCACTTAGAATTATTTTTCAAGGTTAATGTGTATCATTATACATAGTGCAGGCCCTGCATGTTAAAGACTCTCAAAAAAAATTTAATGACAATAATGAAATGAAAACTTTTACTTACTTTATAAATTAGACTGTCCACCAAAAGGTCATGTTGTATCACATTGGTCTTAAGCTGTTCATAATACAAGATATCCTAGAGTTAAAAATAAAACAAAAAAGTTAAAGGCCAATCACATTTACAAAGTCAGCCTCAAACTTTAATAATAATCATTAATCTATATATATATAAAAGCCGAAGCGATTGTTATGACGTAACAACCGGAATGATTGGAACAACCAGTCACTATGATGTGCATTGACCATCAGGGAGCAGACACTCAATGCAGGAGCTGCCCCCTGGTGGTCAGTGTGCTCCTACAGCAGGAGTGCCACTCAGCCAGAAGCCAGGCTCACAGCTGTAGAGCGCAGTGGCAGTGGTGGAAGCCTCTCCCGCCTCAGTGGCAGCGCTAAGGAGCAGTGAGCCAAGCAGTGAGGAATAAGCAGGTGGGTGGTAAGGAGTGAACAGGCGGGTGGTAAGAAGCAAGCAGGTAGGTGGTTAGGAGCAAGCAGTTGGGCAGTTAGGAGTGAGCAGGTGAGCGGTTAGGAGTGAGGGGTCCTGGATTGTGAGAGAGATGTCTGGCTGCAATATGTCCAACTGCAGGTATCGGGCATAAACTGGCAGTTGGACATCCCCCTGAGGGGTTCTGGATTACGAGAGGGCACAGGCTGGGCTGGGGGACCCTCCCCCCCCCCCGGGGCACAAATTTCATGCACCAGGCCTCTAGTCTATCTATATAAAACCCTAATATGCAAATTGACCAAACAATGAAACAACCGATGGAATGACCAGTCGCTATGACATGCACTGATCACCAGGGGCAGATGCTCAACGCAGGAGCTGCCCCCAGCCCGCAGGCCCCGACTGGCAGTGGCAGTGGGGGCAAGGCTGGTGAGCAGGCAGCGCCAGGCCAGCTAAGGCAGGTGTGAGCAAGGGCCCCCTCGATTGCCCCGCGGGTCACCCCACAGATTGGCCCTGATCGCCAGTCAGGCCTAGGGACCCTACCTGTGCATGAATTTCATGCACCATGCCTCTAGTAGTAGTATAAACACTAAGAGGATAGGGGCTATAATTTACTCACAACTACATTTTCTACACCTGGCCAATACCAGAGTCTCAATAAATATATCTCATTTACTTACACTGAGTTGCCATCTTTATTTTTCCTACTGTAACAACCCATTTCTACCACACATCTTCATGAACTAAATTGACAGATGCCATTTCTTAAAAATTTACTGATTGTTCTGTTGTATGGATAAGTACACATTATCTAATTATTAATAACAAAGACTTCTATGTTAAGAACAATGATTAAATTATATAGGGTGTCCCAAAATTCACCCCATATTGGGTGAATTTTGGGACACCCTATATTAATCTTGTCAGATAACTCAAAACTACAGTGTTTTAAAATAAAAAAGAAGGTAAATAATAGACAAAGAACAAAAGTATTTCCATTTTGAATAACTGGTCTGAAAAATAAAAATCAATAGTTCAAATTTGGCTTATCCTTTTCCTTCTTACCTCAGGTTGACTGGAAATATTCAAAATGAGAGCCCATAATTCAGCCCTCAGTGCTGTGGGGCTTCCTTGTCTGACATACTGTTGAGCAGCAGCACTATCTTGTTCTGCTAGAACTGGCAAAAGTAATATAGTTAATTAAAGTTTCATTAGAAATTTCATAATTTAAAAAATAATAGTGGAATCTTTAATTAAAAATCTTTTGGGAAGCCAACATCTAATCTTTATGTCCAATATATTTATATCACATCATGACAACCTTCTTTTGGTCTCTGTATTTTGATGTGGCCCTATTTACAGCCCTACAAGTTTTAAGCCTTCAGCTCCTCCACCTCCTACCCTGCCTGGTAAAAACTGTTAATGAAGTTACCTTGAGATAGCTTTGCTTTAATTATAAGCATGGATCTGAAACTAGTGTTGCATATATACAATAATTTTGAGGTTCCATGATCAGGTAAAGTCATATCTATAGAAACCCTAAGTTTCTTATGCACATTCTACTAAGTCATAAATGTTCTAGTATTTGGAGTTAGTATGATTTTTGAAGTATTTGGCTAAAAATTGTAAAGGATATAAGATAACCATTCTATTAGGTGACTTTTTAGTTACTTTCCAAAAACAACAGAAAAGAGGGTTTTTAAAAGAAAATACCCCAAAAATGTGCTAACCTTTTAAGGAAGCCAAAATTTTTCATAAGCAGCCAAGTTCACAAAATTGATATATTATACTTTTGCTTTTTTTTCTTCATTTTTGTGTGTGGGTCTTTTTAAATAAAAATACCAGCTATTAAGTCTGGAAATAAAGCCCCCCCGCCCAAACAAAACAAAACAAAAATAAAAAGAGATATTAGATAACTGCTGACATTTATCTAACAGTACTGTTTCCTTATATTTTCTTCTTAAGAGAAATCATATGCTAAATGAAAATGACAAAACCAAACCAAACAAAGAAGTATGAAATTAAAAAATAAAATTTTAAATTTGCAATTGTGTTTAATAAAAATGTCAACTCATACAAATGAAGTTTTAAAAATAAATATGATTTTGAACAATTATACCAGGGAGTTTAGAATATGACTATATAATTGCCATAGAAGGGTCATTCTGACACAAAGACTTATTTGTAGTTCATATTTCAAAGATAAAACAGGATTTACAAAAACAAAGAACTAATCTTCAGAAGATGGGAACATTGCTTCCCAGAACACTAGGCGCCGCTCCAGCTATTAAGTCTCAGCATTATGAACAGTCCCGGTAAGTGTGATGGTTACATTTTCTCCTGATGCCAGAGCATATTCCCATTAACATTAATGGGAAGTGTGTGGGCGCATCAGAGAGAGAACCTACCTCTTTGATTTTGAAATTAAATTCTATTGCTGAATGGATTAAGCTAACATCCTTGAAGAATATGTGTCTGCATTTATTTCCTTTTTAGTGAACCATCTGTGTATGTCTTTATCTGACATTTATTGGTGAAGCCAAAATGATGCATTTCCCTTCTTTAGAAAGATTCTCATTATAGTATCTATGCAGTTAAATATTACTCCTTTTTAGGGTGTTAGCTCTTTAGAGATTAAAATTCAGTTGGGGGTGGGGGGTATATGACACAGACATTTACTTAGGATTGTGTCTCATTTTCAGAAATTATCATAAGTATAATCAAAAGCTTACCTTTTTGCCCAATACGTACATGCTCATTTTCAAAAAGTTCTAAAAAAAAAGATAAAATAAAATAATTAAACATAAATATGATCAGCCACATTTAAAATAATTATGGGTATATTTTTCTGGTATTAATACTTTTAATTATTTTAAAGTTGAATGGCTCTATAGAAAAGTATAAGAATATTTATATTTATATGCATAAAATCATTTTTCTAAATTTTTTAAAGTTTGTAGAAATTAAGAGTCAAGTGCATTTAATTAGAATAAAAAAATGACAAAACTACTTTCCTTTTGTTAAAAGAGAATATCTTCTAAAAACACAAAAATGTTTCTGCTCATTCATCTTTGATTTTATCCTTAAAAAAGCAAAATTTTGCGTGATTGCCAGAGGTTGGGGTGGAGGTGGGGGCGAAATGGGTAAATGGAGCCAAAAGATAAAAATTTCCAGTTATAAAATAAGTCATGGCATGTAGTATACTCCATGGTACCTATAGTTAATAATACTGTATTGCATATTTGAAAGTTGCTAAGAGAGTAAAATCTTAAAAGTTCTTATCACAAGAAAAAAATTCTGTAACTATGTATGGTAAATGATGTTAACTAGACTTATGGTAATCATTCTGTAATATATAATAATACTGAATCATTATTTTATACTCCTGAAATTAATATAAAGTTGTATGTAATTATACTTCAATTAAAAACCATGTTGATGTATCATTGGCAATTATATTCTCCCATACAGTGGGTTTCCTTTTCGATTTAATGCTGGTTTCTTTTCTGTGCATAAGCTTTTTCTTTTTATATAGTCCCATTTGTTTATTTTTTCCTGTTTCTCTTGCCTTAGGTGTTGTATCAGTGAAAATTCTGCTACGTGAGATGTCTGATATTTTATGCCTTCATTTTCTTCTAGGATTTTCATGGTCCACAACTTACATTCAAGTCTGTTATCTATTTTGAATTTATTCTTCTATATGGTGTAAGTTGGTGGTCTAGTTTCATTTTTTTGCATGGACCTGTCCAATTACCTCAACGCCATTTATTGAAGAAACTGTTTTTACTCCACTGTATGCTCTTGCCTCCTTTGTCAAATATTAATTGAGCATAATGGCTGGGGTTGATTTCTGGATTCTCTGTTCTATTCCATTGATCTATATGCCTGTTCTTGTGCCAGTACCAGGTTGTTTTTATTACAATGGCTTTGTAGTATAGTTTCATATCTGGTATTGTTAGCCCTACAACTTTGTTGTTTTTTTCTCAAGATTGCTGTGGCTATTCATGGTCTTTTTTGGTTCCATATAAATTTTTGGAGTATTTGTTTTAGATCTGTGAACTATGCCATTGGTATTTTAATAGGGATTGCATTGAATCATAGATTGGTTTAGGTAGTATGGATATTTTGATGATGTTAATTCTACCAATCCATGAACACGGTATATTCTTCACTTGTTTATATCTTCCTCTATCTCTTTTTTCAACGTTCTGCAGTTTTCTGAGTATAGGTCTTTTACCTCCTTGGTTAAGTTAATCCTAAGTATCTTAATTTATTGTTTAATTTTAATTAGCTATTATTGCTGAGACTTAGTAACCAAAGAATCAAAGGTTGTCAGCCAATTCTTGTCTCTATAAAAGTGGATGATACTACCAGGTGATACACTGAAAGTAGTACAAAATAAAAATAAAAAGACTTTAGAGAAATTATTTGATTATATAAAATACAATAATTTTTCTTTCCAAGTACCATACTCTGGTCTAAGAATAAGAGCCCAAAGAAGTCAGAACCAGAATTTCCAATCTGTAATCTGTGTTTCTCAAGGAATGCTCTGAGGATCACTATGTTAACAGATGCATCTACATTAGGAGATCTTGATTGGGGAAAAAAGGTTCTCTGGTGAAATGTAATTAGAAGATGCTAAGATCTAAGTTTACTTAGGACTTCTCACAGTGTTTAAGATGGTAACACACACTGTAACTGTATATCTTAAAATATGGCCTAGCCTTTCCCAAACCTTATTTGAAAACAAGATCCTCTTTTTCACAGGGCATATGGTGAATGTTTCATGTAACACACTCGGGAAATGCTGTGCCAAATGAAGATGCTTTTTTGTTTCCGAAATAACAACCTGAAAAAATGTCTATTTAGCAGAACCCCCACCTAATAAGATTCATTATTATGTATATTCAGACAATAATATCAGAAATATGAGCCCCCTTTTTCATGAAAGAATGCTGGTTCTGCTCATCCTTTCCCCTCATCGCATAGGTCTTATCAATGGTTTCCATAGAAAGTATGTGTGTGTATATTTAAAATAAATGCATATTTATGAGAATTTACAGAAATAATAAATGTCTGATTTATGTTATTATTATTAAATACGGATTCTACATTACAGTGATAAGGACTCTTCTATCAACTCTTATATAAACCTGATAAGTTAGTGAGAAATGCACTTCAAATATAAAGATGGAAAAACAGTATGGGTAAAACATAGGTAATTCATGATTTTAAAGATAAGTAGGAAATGAGGGGACCACTATGTAAATTATATGATTGTCTAACTACTTAGCTGTACACCTGAAACCAATACATAATAAAAAAGTAAAATAAAATTAATTATATATTTTTAAAAGATGAGTAGGAAGGATATCGTTTCTGTAAATCACACATAAACTTAATCCTAAATATGAAACTTGCCTCTAGCCCAGTAGTTCTCAACCTTCTTAATGCTGAGACACTTTAATATAGTTCCTCATGTTGTGGTGACCCCTCAACCATAAAATTATTTTTGTTGCTACTTCATAACTGTAATGTTGCTACTGTTATGAATCATAATGTAAATATCTGATATGCAGGATGGTCTTAGGCGACCCCTGTGAAAGGGTCGTTCGACCGCCAAAGGGGTCGCGACCCACAGGTTGAGAACCGCTGCTCTAGCCAAATACTATTAGCAATATTTTCAAAATATTTAGCATTACATTTCCAATTTAACCAAAGCCATATACATATACTAAAAAATAAAAAACTATTTTTCACTCAGGCAAGAGTAGTTTTATATGACCTCATTTTTCTTTCCAAGTAATTCTGTTGCCTAGCAATTCTCAACACAGGCAAAAATTTTAGTACTATACCACTAAAAACAAGCTCATTGGATGAACACTAATTCAACCCCCCTTTCAGCAGTCCTGCTTTGAAAAGACAAGGGAGCAAAAATAACTGCATCAACTAACAAGATTTTCAACTCCTCCAGCCGACTTAGGTGCTCTCTCTTCTGCTCCAACTACCCCTTGTATATAATAATAGCCAAAGCCAGGTGAGTCTTATCTCAATCTTATATCTTCCCTGAAAACAAAAATTATGTCAAATTATGTATTCACTAGTCACTGGCCCTTATCAGGATCTCACCCACATTTGTTGTATTCTGAGTGAATCAAAGAACTATACTCTAGATTAAGAGAAAAATTAGGTTTTCTAAAGCATAGCTATTATAAGTTTAGAATGATTTAAAACAATTCTTAGGGATTTTTTTTTCAAAAGTGAAAAACATAGATATCATTCAAGGTTATATTACTAGTTCTTTCCCCTTTTGTTAGTTATATATATATGACTAGAGGCCGGATGCATGAAATTTGTGCAAGAATAGGCCTTTGCAGCCATGGGCGGCTGCCTGGATCCCTCCCTTGCAGCCATGGCGGCTGCAGCCCTGGCTTAGTCCAGAAGGACGTCCAGAAGGACATCTGGTCTAATAGCATATTATGCTTTTATAGATTATCATTTTCATGAACAGAAGTATAAGTTAAGATATCTGTCTCAGTCTGTTCAAGCTACTAAAACAAAACTAAGTAGTTTATAAATAACAGAAAATCATTTCTCACAGTTCTGGAGGCTACAAGTGTAAGATCAGGATGCCAGGATAGTCAGTTCTGGTGGGGATCCTCTTCCACGTTGTAGTGTACCGACTTTTCACTGTGGAAGAGGCTGGGGAGCTCTGTTGGGCATCTTTTACAAAGAAACCAATTCCCATTCAGGAGGGCAGACTTCTTAGTTTTGAATCTTGGTTCTACCACTCACTAGTATTTGTGACTTTAGGCAAGTTACTTCACATTTGCACTTCTTCAACTTTAAAATGGTGGCATTACTTCTATCTCACATCACGGAAAAAAATTAAAACCATCATACAATACCACTATTTACCATCAGGATGACTAACACAAGAAGAGGGAATCCACCCAGCATAAGCAAGCATACAGAGCAACTACTGTTCTCACACATTGTTGATGGAAGTGTAAACTGGTACTGCCACTTTTAAAAATTTCTTTGGCAGTTATCTACTGAAGCTGAACTTATGCCAACCCTAGGACCGAGAACTTGCATTCCCAGGTGTATACTCAACATATATTCACCAAAAGACACACATTAGGATGTTCATAGCAGCCTTATTTGTAATAATCCCACACTTGAAACTTCCCAAATACCCATCAACAGTAGACTGCATAAATAAATGTGTATGGTATGTTGATACAATGGACACTATAATGCAAAAAGCCCAAAATATTTATAAATACACAGCAATTTGGCTGAATCTCACAAACACAACAGTGAACAAAAGAAGTCAAATATCAAAGAGTACATAACAAAACTTTATATGTTTTAATTCATATAAAGTTCAAGAACTGGCAAAAACAATCTATGCTGGGAGGAATTAAATAGTGGTCTTTGACATGGAGGGTAAAGATTGAAGGAGGTTAAGAGGGGGATTCAATTTATTAATCTGTATTTGTCCAATTAATAAAAATTCCCTGAACCATTTTCTTATGATATACACTTTCCCCAAGGCATTAAAAACTAGTAATTTTAAAGGAGGTAATAAACACACCTTGTAGATTGCTGAGAGCGTAAAATGAGACAATATACATATAACACATGGTATATGCTCAATAACTGTTTGTTATTATTATTAAGAATAATAACTATCCAACTTCCTTATTTTATAGAGGAAGAAACAAGTGCAAAGATGTAAAGCGATTTGTCCAGGACACACAGCGAGCCAGTGGCAGATGAGGGTCTACAATAGTTCCCTGACACCTGTCTAGTATTATTTCCACTACAATACAGGCCTCCCGCATTTAAAGCAATTTTTACTTCCTTTTATTATAGCTAAATATGAATCAGGGCTTTTATAAAAACCATATTGTACTTATACACAAAAAGAGAAAAGTTAGGGAAATTTTCTAGATGATTAAGGTTTAAGAGATAGTAATTTTAAAGCCTGAGTTTATTCAAGGTGGAATGTCTGTGTTTGTGTAATTTGGTGCTATGAAAAATAATAAAAATAAATAGTGAGGGCCAGTAAAGGGAAATATGAGTGCTGCCAATGAAGATTTTGCCAACAAAATAACTTGTGTATGTCCAGTGACTTAACAAAATTATATTGGGCTTCAAATAAAAAGACAACATCAAGTTGTACTCTGATCATTACAATATACAGAATTCTATTCAATAGTTAGTAGAAACAAAGGAGAGGAAAAAGCATGCTTTGTTTTCAGATATAAAAATGTTACTAGATTCATTTGGAAATAACATGATAAATTTTTACCTCGTTCTCATTTATCATTGATCAAATGCCATATGGGAGAAATACTAACCAGGAGGCACTTGTGTAGAATCATCTATACCTAGTTGTCCTGTAGTTAAGCCGAGTTCTACAAATAATTCTTTCTGAAAAACAACACACACACTGAATTAACATACATCTCAGACTTTGCTACATGTAAAAAAATAATAATTTTCACCTAAACATCAGTGTAAATAAAAATCACAATACAAAACGAATCTTTGCTTCCTTCAAACATCTAAAGAAGAAAAGGCCTGCCCTAGCCGGTTTGGCTCAGTGGATAGAGCGGACAAAGGGTCCCGGGTTCAATTCTGGTCAAGGGCACATACCTGGTTTGCAGGCTCCTCCCAGCCGGGGCCCTGGTCAGGGCTCCTGCAGGAGGCAACTAGTCGATGTGTTTCTCTAACACTGATATTTCTCTCTGTCTTTCCCTCTCTCTTCACTCTCTCTTTAAAAATCAATGGAAAAATATCCTCAGGTGAGGATTAAAAAAAAAAAAGAAGAAGAAAAAGAAAAAGCCATTATTTTTTTTTTAATACTTAATGGGAACTTATATTTTTATTTATTTATTTTTTAAAATATATTTTATCGATTTTTTTTGACAGAGAGGGAGGGAGAGGAATAGAGAGTTAGAAATATCCATCAGAGAGAAACATCGACTAGCTGCCTCCTGCACGCCCCCTATTGGGGATGTGCCCGCAACCAAGGTACGTGCCCTTGACTGGAATCGAACCTGGGACCCTTGAGTCCGCAGGCCAACACTCTATCCACTGAGCCAAACCGGTTAGGGCGAGAAAAAGCCATTATTGAACCTTTAAATAGTAATTCACTGATTCAATATTAAGGACAACCATGATTTTTTTTTTACTACAGTATTGCTATATAACATTTACATTTTTTATTTTCATGAGAAAAAAGCATGAATAGAAACGGTAAAAGCTGTTAGGAAATATCAATATGTAATGAGAAAAAACTTAAATATATAATATTTCTCCAAAGGTAGAGCTTTTAGTAGTATTTTTCTTTCTCCTAATTTCTTTTACCTAAGAAAATTTTTTCCTTTGATGCCAATGTTTTAAAAAACTATTTTAAAAATAGTTCTTGATTTTTTGTCTTTTTAGGTAATAGGCTAATCAGTAAAGTAAGAAATGAATTATCCTTTGAAAAAAGAAATATTAACATTCAATTCTTTCCTGAAACACACATCTGCACACACTATATGCAACAATTATCAACTTTAATGTCATTGTCTAAAATTAGCAATATAATTCTGTATCTATGCTTTCTATGGTACTGTACTTCACTCAGCTCTTAATCAACTAAGCAATGAAAATATCCAAAACAACTTAAATTAATTTTTAAGTAAGATTAAACTATCAAGTGCTCTGCTAAAAGAAGAATAAATTAGATTTATTCTCCAGACTTCCTCTACTTATCTAGTAATGTCTAAGGAAAGTAATCATGTTTGTCTGTTATTTTTAAAATATATAATAATCCCATGTTATTTGTATTATTTTTCTTCCCTAAGTAATTAAATATTTCTATTAATATTTAATTGACTCAGTGTTTTGTTACTATTCAATTGCTAAAACCAAACTTCCTTCTTCTTTAAAAAATAAAATTAATTTTAATACTTCCCAATTATCCATTATTATTTAAGTTCATAATTACTAGTGTCCCTCACAAGACAGTTATTGCACCTAATATGCACACACATTTCATTTTTGTATTAATTTTAAATAACTACCATTATATTTCAATTCTTAACTAAACTTGATTTTCATCTGTACTTTAAAATAGTACTGCATCGTTACCAATTTTTCAGAGTAAAGAGGTAAAAATTTAATGTTATTCTTCCATTTTCAACCATTGTCTTACATTTATTTTAAATTCTTCCTTCATTAAAATCATTACAATTAATGATAATGTATTTGATTTTTTTAAAAATAAATTTGATCTTCATATTACAGAGGGACTTAAGTCCAATAAACATTTCAGTATTAGGTTCTATAGTCACAATGGGGAATTATACTTAAGCTAAGACATGTGAGGAGCATAAAAAAAACTCTGGACATCGTTTTCTATTTCACTGCTCTGGACTATTTTTTATTCAACATCAGTACACCTGGCCCCTAATCTCAGATTTCCTTCAAAAACTCCCCTAAAATATTGTGCCTTCTGGGATACCTTCTTTGATATTCCAGGCTGATTTGGGTAACTCTATGCATATGGATTACCTTTTTCAACCTCTACCAAACCAAATAATCACATCCTATTAAAATTATTTTTTTACTTGTCCATCTTCCCACTACCCCGAAGTTCTTGGAAGACAGAGTGGCTCATACACATCTGCACTCCCAGAACTTGGATGGTGCTAAGTGAGCCATAGCGGGGCTCAGTAACATTAAACCACACCACGGAGCTCTAGTTCCACCCTGCTGCCTCCATCTGGCTGAATTAGTAAACAGAAGTTAGTGTCCGCAACTTTACTTTACAGGAATTTCCTTTTAACACGGATGAGTCTACAAAACATGGTGACCTAGATTTAAGGGCCATCCAGTATGTACCTCATGACTCACTGAGTCTCACCAAGTTCAATACTCATACAGACAGACCCGGGACACAGATAAACCATGCATCCTGCAGTCAGAATCATTACACATCCAGGCCATGTGATTCAGGAAAGGCAGAGACAACTATCCCTAATGACCACAGGAGGAGAAGGACTAACATATTGTCAGCAGGTATAGCCACAATTTCTGAAAAAATTAGTCACAGGCTTTTGTTCTTCAGTAACTAAGAATGAATCCACATCAGTTCCAGGTCTCTTCAGACAGACAGATGACATAATTAGTCCCCCTCACACACATGCTAAACCTTTACATACATGATCAACTTTCCCTGCTTCTTTCTAGCAAACTCCTTCAAACTTGTTCAAATGGTAGCACCTCTGAGAAGACTTCCCACCACGTCCAGAAAAATCTGCCACTTTTTCTTCTGTATAGCCATCTCATTTTGTACAAACCACTACCAATATAAAGCTTTTAACACTTTTTAAAAATTACCTCTTAAAATTTAATTTTTTATCAAAGTTGTAGTATTTGTAGTAAATAGTTATATATTGCTTTCCATTTTCCACTAATTGGGTGGCTTTAAACAACAGACATATATCTCACAGTTCTGAAGGCTAGAAGTCCAAAATCAATGGGTTAACTGATGCTCTCCCTGGAGGCTCTGGGGGAGAATCGTCGCATGCCTTTCTCCTGGCTCCTGATGCTGCCAGCAATCTTTGTGTTCTTTGGCTTATAAATACATCACCCCATTCTCTGCATTCATGTCATATGACATTCTTCTTGAGTCTCTCCCTTCTGTGTCTCTTCTCATCTTCCAATAAGGACACTAGTCATATTGGATTTAGGGCCCACCTGACTCCAATAATCATCTTCTTAACTTGATTGCATCTGTAAGGCTCTATTTCCAAATGAGGTCACATTCACAGATACTGGAGGTTCGGACTTCAACATACCTTTCGGAGGGCTCAATTTAACCCATAACTTCTATTTTAACTTATTGATCTGCACACCACTCCTATGAGAGATTATCATCACTATCCTATATAATAAAAGCCTAATGTGCAAATCGACCGAACAGCTGAACGACTGGTGGAATGACCAGTCACTATGATGCACAGTGACCACCAGGGGGCAGATGCTCAATGCAGGAGCTGTCCCCAGACCGCAGGCCCCAGGCCAGCCAAGATGGGTGCAGCGGGGCCCCCCGATCGCCCCACTAGTCACCCCACAGATTGGCCCTGATCACTGGCCAGGCCTAGGAACCCTACCCGTGCATGAATTCTGTTCTCCAACCGGCCTCTAGTTTTACAAATAAGAAAACTAAAGCTCAAGGTAAAAAAAACTTGCTCAAGATCACACAGCTAGTTAGTTAGCTTCAGAATCTAATCACCTACACTGTCTCTACATGCAGCAAATAGTTTAAGAGGTGAAATCCACTAAAAGATTTATTACAACAACAGCATAGCAGTTCTCTATCTTATACACTCCTCCACATACACACACACTCATACTGGCCCACTATCCAGGGACAGCTGCTTTTTTTCTGGTATATATCTCCATATTTCAAGTAATAAGTGTATACTTCTATTTTTAATTTACCAGTTTCAGACATTTACTGGGTTTGTTTGTTTTTATGGAAAGTGGGGATTTTTCGCTCATGTACTTCTCACCATCATCCTATATAATAAAAGGCTAATATGCAAATCAACTGAACAGCAGAACAGGCACTGGACGCTATGACACGCACTGACCACCAAGGGGCAGACACTCAACACAGGAGCTGCCCCTGTGGTCAGTGCATGTCATAGCAACCAGTAGTCCTGCCGTTCAGTCGATTTGCATATTAGCCTTTTATTATATAGGATGATGCAAGAGCTGCCCCCTGGTGGTTAGTGCACTCCCACAGAGGGGAGCGCCGCTCAGCCAGAAGCTGGGCTCATGGCTAGTGAGCACAGCAGTGGTGGTGGGAGCCTCTCCCACCTCTGCAGCAGTGCTAAGGATGTCCCCCGAGAGCTCCCGGACTGTGAGAGGGCACAGGCCGGGCTGAGGGAACTCCATGAGTGTATGAATTTCATGCACTGGGCTTCTAATTTCAATATAATTATACATAAACTAGAGGCCTGGTGCACAAATTCGTGCATGGGTAGGGTCTGGCTGCCCCCCCCCAATGGGGGCCAATTGGTCCAGGCAGACAGGAGGTTGGCCGGCCAGTTCCGCCCCCGATTAGGTGTGGGGGGTCAATAGGGGGCAGGGCTAGCTGGGGGGAGGGGCCAACCCCCAATTGGGCTGGTGGGCCAGCCGCAGTGCACATCATAGCGACAGGTCATTCCAGTCATTCCGGCATTCCCGTCACTTGTTTACTTGTCTTTTCTATATATATATATATATATATATATATATATATATATATATTCTTGATTAAATCTATATTGTTTGCATTACTATGACAATTTAAATGTAACTCACTGCTGAGCCACATAACATATGTTATAAATGTGTTTCCTTTCTTATACTTTTAAAATTAAATTCATTTACCTCTTCCTATACCCTTGAACAATCTGAAAAGATCTTTCTCAATACAATTTTGCATGTGGCCAAGCCTGTACTTGCAGTGTTTTTCTTGGAGGCCTATACTTACCAATTCAGGGATGTCTTTTACTTTCAGAGGAATTTGGATTAAACCCAAATGAGTCCTGAAACTAGGAGAATCACCATTTTCATAATTTGGGTTGCGAAGATTAATTAATACCTTTAAAAACAAACCCAGCAAAATTGATTAGTTTTTTATAGAATGTTTACACTTCTAAAATTGGCAGTGATATTCTTGCTGTATCACCACAAAATTAAAAACTATTTGGGGTTAATCATATACTTCAATAACATTCTAAAATACTGTAAAATTGTACTAAAATGTTAAAATACCATAAACATACTTTTAATTAGGATGGCTTAATATTCCAACTAATGATCTATCATTTAATTATAAAAATTTAAGAATTTAATTATAAAGAAAACTTTTTGATGGTTGAAAAAATAAAAAATTGTTTGATTATAACTATTTACCAGGAAAGGTGATAGAAAAATAAAAATTACTCGACTAATATTCACCAAGGAAAATTTTAGAACCAACTCTAACCCTTTTAAAAAACAAATATTGACAATGTTTTTTAGAAAGATACTAAGGCAATATTGGAAGGTCTCGCCTCTAAATCAAACCCACATGGAAAAACAAAAAAATTTTTCAGAAGCCAAGCTAACAAAAAAGACTTTACATACTTTTCAAAATAAGCATATAAAATAATTCATAGATATTTTCATATCCTTTAATCTAGGAATCTCATTTCTATGAGTATAGTTGTGGAAATAATATAAAATATTTTCAAAAATAGTGCAGGAAGAATGTTAATGAAATGCTGTTTATAATGGAAAAACATATGACAACTTACACAACCCACTCGAGGGAATTACTTAAATAAATTATGATCAATTCACATAATACAACACAGTATAATAAGTAATTTATGTAGATAATAACATGAAAAATATAATATATTACATTTTAAAAATTATGATAATTGTGTCTATTGCTATATGATGGTATTATGAGTAATTTTTATTTAAAATTTTCTTCTTATGTATGTTTTCTTATTTTCTATCAACATTCATTTGGGGGGAAAGAATTATCATAGTTTTTAAAATATTTTAAAGTTGAAACTCTTGAAGGAAATCAACAATCAAGAATCCAGGGAAGGAAATGATGATGACAGAAATGCTATCGTATCTGAGGAAGGCATTGAACTGATAACTAATAGTTGATAAAACGGAATGTGCTATAATGCTCAAAGTTTCATAATATTGCAAACACTAAATTGAAACTGAAAAAAATCAATGACATTTGTTTAAAAAATAAAAGATTTAGCAAAGAATCAACCATGTTAAATACAGACTAATAGAGACCAGCACAATTTCAGACTAATTACACAAATACTGCATGGGGAACTCACTAACACAGACTGGGAAAGAAAAAGAATCTATGAATACATGGGTGATAGGAAAGAGAAAATATTAAAAATGCAGACACTATATTAGTAACTAAGGAAATAACTATAGGAAGTGTTCTTAAATTAAAGAAGAATCCCAGCATAAATAAGAAAAGCATCAATTCGGCAACAGTTCCTAAGGAAATGGAATATATGACTATTAGGGAGAAAACATAGTTAAAAATAACCATATAAAAATTACATGAAATTTCAGCCCTTAGTGCAAGAAAAGGAAAGGGTTTAGAGGAAACCTTTACTAAGCTAAGAGAAACAATACCATCGCTATAAAGGCGGTTTCTGACCAACCTAACTTCTCTTTAAATTTAAAAAGAGACTATTTATACTCCAAACAACCTGATAACATTTCTAACAATGTTTAATGCTGGTAAACTGGTATCAGAGACTACAGGTTCAGAAAAGAAATAAAAATAAAATGTGAAAGATTCATTCGTTCATGTGACAACTATTTATTGAGCAAGAATATGCTAAGCCTTGTTCTACCTGTTGGAGATAGAGCAGTTAAAGATAGGAAGAGCTTGCAGCTGGTTTTCTATCTATGCCTATCTCCAGGGATACCTGGGAGTGTGGTCAAGATGGGATGGAATGTACTAACTTGTCATTTATAATGTGCTATGTAATAGCCCCTGTGTTTACACTGTTTATTGGTTGGACTAGAACAAGGAGGGAATAAAAAGGGAAAAGATTCCCTGACACCTATACCATGGTATGTGCCAGGCAGCAGGCAACATGACTTAGAGTCGTTATTTTTTATGAAAAAATCTTCCTAATGGATTTACTTGCCTCTAATCTTTCCATATTCCAATATATTTTCCAATAGCAATATCCAAACACAAATCTGATCATGTGCTTCATTGACTTGGGGGCTGTTTACATGGTGATTTCCTCTGCCTAGAGATATTCCTGTATCATCATTTCTTTCATACTTTCCCCTCATTATCATACATATATTTAACCAATAGAACGTACCTCAAGAAAATCTTTAGGTGCATAAACAGGTCTGAAATGGCTTAAATCTAGAATTAAGAAGACAGATTACAAACAAAATTTCAGTTAATAGTAGTACATGTTTATTAATAATAAATATTAATGATTCCTGCATTCATTACTGTGCAGCTAGATTAATTAAACATTTGTAGAGTGTTGGTTATTTGCCATACATTGTGTTAAGTATTGGTAAAAAAATAAAAAGGCAGTCCCTCCCCCTTGACAGCCTAGATGGCATATTCTGAAAGAAACTGAGAGTCTCCCACTCATATATTTGAATAGATTATAACTGAATAAACAATGTCAATATAATATAAAAGTTCTATATGAGAATTCTCAAAGTGCATAGAATACAAACAATACATTCTCAGTGAATTCCTCTAGTTGTACTGAACTGTCCTCTCTTTTGAACTTCTGTGACACACTGCTTCCTATGTTATTTCTTGCCCAGGCCCCCACACTTATTTTTTTTTAAATACATTTTATTGATTTTTAACAGAGAGGAAGGGAGAGGGATAGAGAGTCAGAAACATCGATGAGAGAGAAACATCGATCAGCTGCCTCCTGCACACTCCCCACTGGGGATGTGCCCGCAACCAAGGTACATGCCCTTGGCCAGAATCAAACCTGGGACCCTTGAGTCCCCAGGCTGACACTCTATCCACTGAGCCAAACTGGTTAGGGCCCCCACACTTATTTTTAAGGAGGATAGTGAGTAATTATGTAGGTGTGCACTTAAGCCATTATATATATTATCATAGTAAAGTATATATAGTTGTGACTAATTATCCTGTATATAATAAAGAGGTAATATGCAAATTGACTATCACTCCAACACACAAGATGGCTGCCCCCATGTGGTCAAAGATGGCCGGCAGGGGAGGGCAGTTGGTGGGGGCGGGGGGGCCAGGTCAGCAGGGGAGGGCAGTTGGGGAGGGGACCAGGCCAGCAGGGGAGGGCAGTTAGGGGTGACCAGCCCAGCAGGGGAGGGCAGTTAGGGGTAATCGGGCCTGCAGGGGAGCAGTTAGGAGTTGATCAGGCTGGCAGGAGAGTGCTTAGGGGATGATCAGGATGGCAGGCAGAAGCGGTTAGGGCAGCCGTGGGCAAACTATGGCCCGCCGGGCCGGATCCGGCCCGTTTGAAATGAATAAAACTAAAAAAAAAAAGACCGTACCCTTTTATGTAATGATGTTTACTTTGAATTTATATTAGTTCACACAAACACTCCATCCATGCTTTTGTTCCGGCCCTCCGGTCCAGTTTAAGAACCCATTGTGGTCCTCGAGTCAAAAAGTTTGCCCACCCCTGGGTTAGGGGCAATCAGGCAGGCAGGCAGGTGAGCGGTTGGGAGCCAGCAGTCCTGGATTGTGAGTGGGATTACAGATTGGAGAGGGTGCAGGCTGGGCTGAGGGACACACACACACAGACACACATACACAACCATGCACAAACTTCATGCACCAGGCCTTTAGTATGTTTATAAAATTGATTGACTCAGTTTTAAACATTAAAATTACCCCACAATAAGTTCTTAAAAACATTTTAGAAGTCTTAGAACTTTACACCAGTTGACCTATCTTTAACATCTCAACAGAAGTAAAGCTTGAAAAATATTTGCCTTAACTATGAGTCTAATAAATTCAAGAATGATTTAATTTACTTTTTTATAAAAATGTTTTCAAATGCTGCTTTAAAAAAGGATAATTGCCTTAAATTGCCGGGAGCCGGTCCATCCTTGCTGTTTCAAGGGACCTGGCATATATGGCATACTGTTCTTAATATGTTTGCTCACCTTCTTGGCACTATGTGTTTTAACCAAGGTCTCCTCTCTGAGAAAGGTTGTTTCCCCAGGTAGGGATTTTCCCCTGAAGTTAGGGAGGGAATAAAACCCCTCAACTAAGTGCCAGGCGGGTAATTAATCACTTTAACTATGACCAATCATGTTTAAGCTACATAATCTTTACTCCCTGGAATGGAGATAAGAAACGCCCTAACCTTTGTAATAGAGATTGATAGGATTGAATCAACTGGTCTAAATACAGATGTAACAAGACAGCAAGAGACAGAACTTAGAAGACAGAACCTAGACACAGAACCTAGACACAGAACCTACACAGAACCTAGAGACAGAAGAACTTCACTGGAGAGAACATGGCAAAAGATCCTAGACAGAAACTGGAGACAGAACCTAGAGACAGAACCTAGCGAGAGAACATGGCAAAAGATCCTGGACCCAACCTGGCTACAGAAATTGGCAAGAGAACCTGATTAGAACCTGGTGACTGAACCTGGCTGGAGAACCTGGAGAGAACCTGGCTGGAGAACCTATCGAGAGAACATGGCAAAAGATCCTGGACAGAAACTGGCCACAGAACCTAGAGACAGAACCTAGACACAGAACCTAGACACAGAACCTAGAGACAGAACATGGCAAAAGATCCTGGACAGAAACTGGCAACAGAACCTAGCGAGAGAACCTGGCTGAAGATCCTAGAGACAGGACCTGGCTACAGAACTTGGTTGGAGAACCTAGCCAGAACCTGGCTGAAGAACCTGGCTACAGAATCTGGTGTCCGAACCTGGCTGGGGAACCTGGGGAACCTGGCTGGAGAACCTAGCAAGAGAACATGGACACAGAACCTGGCAATAGAACCAGGCAAAGAACCCAACCATGCCGATCAACTGAACGCTGCCTCTGAGTCTTTCCCTCTTCGCCTACTCCATCCACACCTTTGGGGACCCCTCGACCTGCTGGGGTTGGACCCCAGCATTAAATGTTCTCAAAATAAGAGAGAACACTGACCAAAGTTAGGAATTTTCAAACTGCAAAGCAAACAAAACAAATGATAGAAAATTAGTGGGAAAGGAAAGTTGCTATCTGTCCAAAAGTACTGTTAATATTGTTACTTAGGGTCCACAATGACCAAGAATGCAATTTCCCCCACTACCACATTTTGGAAAAAGCTATTCTTGTACCTGGTTCATCAGTTCCCATTTCATTCCATTTATTGAGAAGTTCTTTCTGATCTCCAACTGGCCTCTAGAAAAGACAATTTAAAAATTGGTTTCATTTTGTGAAGTTTAGCAATGCAGCTGAAAAATAAGAATCAATAACTCATCTGAAAGTTTAAATAAGGTACTATAACATAAGAAAAAATAATTTCATTACACACAAACTTTTTTAGAATTACACTTAAATTATTATTTAACTATTGTATCTAGTTTCAGTGGCTCAGTTAATGAGTCCAAGAAAAGAAGGTAAATAATCTGTACTGGCCAGTAAATTTTACACACAAACACTGCTGCTCAGCCCACATACTACACCTCTTACCCCCTCCAGCAATCTCAGAAATGCACTGCAAAGGGGACTGGCCAAGAGAGTGTGACTGAGTCAGTGGCATCATCTTCCTATACAAAAGATAGTAGTATTACACAATACTACCTATTTAGACAGCTTTTAGTATAAATTTATCTTTTTTAGCACCATCCTCTGGTGTCTTCAGTGACTTGTCCTTGGATATTATCCAAAGTACATCCACTATATTCTGTTCAACAGCAGGGAACAAATAGCAGGTAAAAAGAACGAAGTGAAGAGAAACTTAATTCTCTCCTACTTGGGAGCAGCTAGAAAGAATCCAGAACATTCCTCATGTGGCTTTTCTCTCCTTTTTCATCTCTCCCCGCTCAAAGCCCCAACTGACAGATAAATGTTGAGTACTAGATCTAAGTAAAGCTAATACTATTCCATCTAAATAGTTCTGTAGAGAGATAACAAATCATTCTTTTCATTGCCTATGTTAACACTGAAAGATGGCATCATATTTGCTATTACAAGATGATAGTATGCCTGAACTCCATGTCTAATTAAAAAATATGGCAATTTTGCTAATTAACCAGAAAATAATGAGTCAACACGTTAATGTCCACCTATAACCTTTACAGCCAAATCGCTAAATAATCTATAATATAGATTCTATACTTTATTTCTACTTATTCTCAAGTTATAGGTTTATTATAAAAAACATTACAGCATATATAACAGAAATCTATATAGAATACACCCACATAATTAATATTTTATATATTTTTTGTTTTAAAAAAATTGATATACTAGTAAAAAAGATAAATCTGCCTAAGTTATAAATTCATGATACTTTCCAGTGCTTGATTTACAATAAAATATTTAAATATTAAAAGTACCTTTCGTGCCAATGGGATACTCAGTTCAGTGCACATACTATTTAAACTCTTCAAAATCCTTTTTTCCCAACTTCCCTGAAACATAAAGAACAATCTATTATTGTTTCTGGTTAACAATACTGAAACTGATTTTTAAAGTAAGTAAAAAAAAAAATTAAAGATATTATGAGTTATACAGAAATGGTGAGGATGGTTGAGATTGGTTATCTTCATACCTTAGTTCAGTCAAAAAATATGGATTACAGCCTACTATGTGCCAGCTTTTCCACTTGCAAGAATTTCAACCAGATGGTTAAAGAAGTCATTTCCATAGACACCAGAAACAGAAATAGAATTTCCTGACAATGAAGGGAAATCCAAGAAGAAAGTGGCTGCTTTCAAGCTGGGTCAACCTTTAGGTTCCCTCAAGAACTCTAATCTCAATTAATTGGTATTTATTCATTCCTTTGTTTACTCGCTGGCTCACTGACTAACATATATTGAATGCTTTCTATATATATATATATGCTATGCACAAAACTAGGACCAGTGTGTAAAGGTAATAAGGAGCCTTTGACTAGGAATTATAAGAAAGAAACTCCCCCAACAAGTGGAATGACTTAACCAAATGGCTTAAATCCATGACACTGTGAGTTCTGTTTCCAGAAGTACTTGAGCAAAAGGCGATAAACTCCAGAGGTTGCACTGGGTAAACCGGAAGGTCTATTTCAGCTCCAGTTTTATAGATACTTAATTTTTCTCAGGTTGTATTTGTAAAAGTGACTAAACCAGGGGTGGGCAAACTTTTTGACTCGAGGGCCACAATGGGTTCTTAAACTGGACCGGAGGGCCAGAACAAAAGCATGGATGGAGTGTCTGTGTGAACTAATATAAATTCAAAGTAAACATCATTACATAAAAGGGTACGGTCTTTTTTTTTTTAGTTTTATTCATTTCAAACCGGCTGGATCCGGCCCGCGGGCCGTAGTTTGCCCACAGCTGGACTAAACCCTAACTCTGAAAAATAAAAGCTCAAAAAAATCATAGTTATTTGTGTGCTATTAAATTAAAATTTTAATATACACTTAGCATTCCCAAAAAAGCAAATAAGCTCTTGAAAAATGATAGTTCATTAATACAAAATAAAAAGAAAGTAATGTTTTCTACCCAAAAGACTTATAAAATAAATAAAGCTTTAAAATGTTATTTAGAAGGACAATAAATGGCCTTTTACATTTAAAATGTTTAAATAGGAAGACATTACCTCTTACCCAAACTCATATCCTCGCCAAATGAAATTATTGTTGGCTTCAAATCAGTTTCCCTAATAATTGGAATGTATGATATTAACTCAAAGGATTTCAAGAGTTTTATAAATAAGGCAATTTCTAAGCCATGATAGGCAAAAAAATTAATAAAAGAATCATAATTGTATAAAAATCTTTAAATGGGTATTAGCTATCACCATGCTATATTTTTATAACAATGTAAGTAAATAAAAAGTCTTTTCAAATTGTATAATATTTTGTTTTTAAAGATTTTAATGTTGACATTATTACAGGAGTCCCACTCCCCCTACTGTATAATAAATGTGCAGCATGTATAAATAAATGACTTTGAAACTATGAAATTAAAAAATTATTTTCTTTATGTTGACAAAAAATAAAGTAAAACAAAACAGTAATAGCTCAGGTACTTAATAAAAATATTTTAGTAATTCTTTGATTACAAATATAACACATTTATTTAAGATAATTTGGAAAACAGAATATGTAAAGAATAAAATAATAAATACATATCAACAAATTTCCATCATCCAAAAATAACCATTGTTAACATTTTATTCTCTTTTATTTTTTCTATGTATGTATATATAATTGATATATATATGTATGTATACACATATATACTCATGTACATTCTTAAAGTGGAATTATATTGTCATATCTTTTTATTTTTCCATTTAAGATTATATTCTATGCACTTTCCTATTTTGTAATTTCCTCAAAAATGATATTTTTGATGCCTGTATAATATTATCTTTTGGAAATGCCATGCTATATTTCAGCAAGCCCTATTGCTATTCATTTAGATTCTTTTAAAGTTTTTACTCTTATCACGAACATAAATTTCTGTGTTTCTCTGATTCCTTTAGATAAGATTCTAGATGTGGAATTATACTAGGAAAAGAGGTATAGATATTTTTAGGAGGGAACATTTTCTTTTTTTGTTTATTCAATTCATTCAACATTTTAAGTAATATGTATTGAGCATCTACCGTGGGACAGACACTGTGCCAGATGTTGGAGATACAGCTGGGAAAGAGAGACTGATGCTGTTTCACAAGGACTTCAGAACCTAGTAATAATACAAACGACCCAAGTATTTCACAAGGACTTCGGAACCCAGTAATAATACAAACGACCCAAGTATTGTGGTAGGAAGTACAGGGTGCTTCCCATGTGGAGGACTACAGACATGAAGAGTTAACTGAGCATCTGATAACTGGGAGGTCAGAGAGCCTTTCAAAAGAAACTACCATCTAACCTGATCCCTGAAGAATATGCATAAGTCGGCTAGAAATAGATGGGGAGTTTCAGGTAGAAGCAGCAGCATAAGCAATGGTTCTGCTGGAACAACTGGGAGAGGTCAAGTATGATTAGACAGAGAGAATGTACATGTGTGTGGAAGTGGGGAGGGGAGTGGGAACATGGGGAGGGGCAGTGTGAGTAGGCAAGAGATGAGACTTGAATCATAAAAAGGGGCAAGACCAGTTACAGCCTGATAAGCTAAAGTAAAGGGTTGAAATTATATCCTAAAAGTCTTAGAAGTTTTAAGAGGTGGAGTGACAATAAGACAAAAAGACCAACTAGATAGGGAATGAGAATTGAAATAATATAAAACTAACAAACTTCCTATTTTTGCTTAGGTTACTAGATTGATAGAAAACAGAGTAAATTCAGCCACATAGCATACCTTAAGTTTGCCTGAAGGTTTCTGGACTGTACAGAGAAACAGTCTGAATACCATCTGGAACCAGAATTCCAGGTTCAAATCCCAACTCTTTCACCTACTAGTTTTGTGACGTTGAATGAAAGATCATAAGAATAACTCACCTCAAAAGCTTGCCATGATGATTAAGTGAGTGAATACTTGTAAAGCCCTAGAATGGCACCCGCCACACGATTAGAGCTCCATGTGCTTACTAATATTATTTCACAAGAAAACTCCGGAACTTGTATTTATCATGCTGTGTATTCTTTTCTTCATAATGCTTTCTCTGAAGGATGTAGCAAAGTAGTTCCCAAGGTATTTTACATGGAAATGGGGTTCCATGGTCATGTAAGTTTGAACAACACTGGACTAAATCAAAGTGAACAGTTTCTTTACTGAAGAAGTTTTTGAGCCTTTAACATTCAGAACAGATTGTAAGAAACAAAATTAAGAAGTTTTCAATTAAAACCCAAAGTATAAAGTGAATATCCATGAGTTTATACTGATATAAATAATTAAATAAACAGAGTGTGTGTGTGTGTGTGTGTGGGGGGGAGAGAGAGAGAGAGAGAGAGAGAGAGAGAGAGAGAGAGAGAGAGAGAGAACTCTTCCATAAGGAAAAATTCAAAATAATTTGTTGATACTCCCTCCTCAAGGAAGTAAGAGCATAACTACCCCTCCTTAAGTGTGGACTACACACAGTAACTTCCTTCTAAAGAGTAAATTATACAGAGGGGGGAGGGAGTAACTTTACAGTGATGAAACCTCACAAATAGTACCTCTGCCAGATGATCAAGGTCAATATTAACAACACTTCCTAGCCACCTCCCCTAGAGCACACAACCTTACATTACAACTACCTATGTCCAAATCTTCTTAAACCATGAAGTTATCTAAAGGCAGAATCTAAGTTATTTCTGAATCTCCATAGCACATAGCAGAGTGTCTTCTCCTACTAGGTATTTATTTAGTAAATATGTTTTAAATGAATATTGTAATCATTGGTAGAAGAGATTGCAAATGCCTTTACTATTCATTCAACATAAACTTACTAAGATCCTGCTATATAAAAGTTAGCATACTAGATATAATGGGCATACAAAATGTTTTTACAGCATTACTGCTTTCAAAAGACATAAATTTCAGAATAATATGTACAGAAATTACTATAATGGAATGCAATTGGTGAAAAGGGCCATGAAATGATCGGGTGCTACAAGAGTGCAAAGAGGGAGCGACACTTTTCAACAGTGGTGTAAATCAGAGATGTCATCTGAGCTGATCCTCACAAAGCAAATAGGATTTTCATAATGCAAATCAGACAGAAAGGGCTTTCCATGATGATAAAAAAATAAGAAAGGTATTAAAGATGCAAGAGGGAAAGACAAAATAATTCACTTGGATGGGCACACAGGACAGTTATAAGACAGCAAATACTGATAAAGTGAAAGGGGACACTAGAACAAATAGTAAAAATTCTTAAATGTTGGGCTTTGGAATAGGAAATTAATTTGTTAGGCAATTGGGTGGGAGTCACTAAAAGTTTGTTAGAAGGCAGTGAGATACATTATAAGGGTTCATCTGCTTGTAGTTCAAGTTCATTGTGTTGAGATTACATAGGGTGATAGACTCATTGAAAGGTAAGTGGTGTAAGAATAAGGCAAGGATGCTAATTAATGTCTGAAGCCAAGTAAGCACTCAACAAGAGATAGTCATCATGGTCATCATCATGATCATTGTGATCACTATGGTAATAATGACGAAAAAGAATAGAAGGCTCTCTAAGACTATGGAAAGAAATCATTTATAGAACTTAGTGAGTATTTGGATTTGGAAAAATGAGGTCGAAGATATTTCATGTCTACATTAGTATAATAATGATGGAAACCAATCATCAGAACTTGGGAAGGCAGAAGATATACTCATTTTAGAAAAAACATCAGAAACTCGGTTTTAGACATGCTGAGTTTGATCTAACAGAAGAAATGTACAGTAAACAGTTGATCATAGAGGAATGGATCCAAAAATGGTGTAGCAGCAAAGCAGGAAGCTATGGAAGCTTGAATGAGATGACCTAAATATTCTCAACAAAATAATTGGCAAATGTTCAAAATGAGTGAGATAGAGGTAGAATTTCAGGCTACATACGCATGGCAAAACTTTGGGAAAATCTAACCAGAAACCAGGTAATAAATAATCTAATATAATAAAAGAGAAACATGGTAATTGGCGTACGACCGCTACCCTTCCCATTGGCTAATCAGGGAGATATGCAAATTAACTGTCAGCCAAGATGGCGGCCGGCAGCCAGGCAGCTTGAAACTAACATGAGGCTTGCTTGCTTCAGTGATGGAGGATTCCAACGTTCCCCACCTGCCTTGCCGGCCTCTGAGCCTGCAGTTTGAAACATTTTAACAAATATAGAAGCTAAACAAAACCCCAGAAACCAGCTTTCAGCAAGCTGGGATCTCAGAGCTGGAGTCAGAGCTGGAGTTATACATTGTTTCGATTACCTACTTTCAGCAGCGGAGGCCTAAGAGCTGGAGCCTCAGAGCTAAAGCTGGCCCAGAATTAAAAAAAAAAAAAAGAAAAAAAACGAGCGTTGGGAGCTTCCGTCACCCCCAGCCTGAAAACAGCCCTCAGCCCCTCACCCAGACTGGCCAGGCACCCCAGTGGGGACCCCCACCCTGAAGGGTGTGTGACCAGCTGCAAACAGCCATCATCCCCTCACCCAGGCTGGCCAGGCACCCCAGTAGGGACCCCCACCATGATCCAGAACACCCTTCAGGGCAAACCAGCCAGCCCCACCCATGCACCAGGCCCCTATCCTATATAGTAAAAGGGTAATATGCCTCCCGGCACCGGGATCAGCATGACAGGGGGCAGCGCCCAAACCCCCAGATCGCCCTGCGGCTCTGTGTGTGACAGGGTAGAGCCATAACCTCTCCATCAGCCCTGCCCTGAGTGTGAGAGTGGCGGCGCCCCAACCCCCTGATCGGCCCTGCTCTGTGGGTGATAGAGGGCGGCACCACAACCCCCACCCCTCCCACGGGCCCTGCTCTGTGTGTGATGGGGTAGAGCCATAACCTCCCCATCGGCCCTGCCCTGAGTGTGAGAGTGGTGGCATCCCAACCCCCTGATCAGCCCTGCTCTGTGGGTGATAGAGGGTGGTGCCCCAACCCCCTGATCCGCCCTGCTCTGTGTGTGACAGGGGGCGGTGCCCCAACTCCCCTATCGGCCCTACTCTCTGAGTGACAGGGGGGAGCTCCTCAACCCCCTGATGGGCCCTGCTCTGTGTGTGACAGGGGGCAGCGCCCCAACCCCCGGATTGGCCCTGCTCTGTGCGTGACAGGGGGCGGTGCCCCAACCCCCCAATCGGCCCTACCCTGAGCGTGACTGGGGGTGGCATCGCAACCTCCCGATCCGCCCTGCTCTGTGCATGATGGGGGCGGCGCCCCAACTCCCCAATCGGCCCTGCTCTGAGCCTGACCAGGGGCTGCACCTAGGGATTGGGCCTGCCCTCTGCCACCTGGGAGCAGGCCTAAGCCAGCAGGGCGTTATCTCCCGAGGGGTCCCAGACTGCGAGAGGGCACAGGCCAGGCTGAGGGGCCACCCCTCCCCCCCGAGTGCACAAATTTTTGTGCACTGGGCCTCTAGTGAATTATAAAAGGATTGACAGGCAGCAAAATGAATCCACTGGAAGATGAATAAGTGGATTTAGTCAAAATTAATGGTCAGGCCAAAACCAGTTTGGCTCAGTGGATAGAGCGTTGGCTTGCGGACTGAAAGGTCCCAGGTTCGATTCCGGTTGCGGGCACATCCCCAGTAGGAGATGTGCAGGAGGCAGCTGATCGATGTTTCTCTCTCATCGATGTTTCTAACTCTCTATCCCTCTTCCTTCCTCTTTGTAAAAAATCAATAAAATATATTTTTAAAAAAATTAATGGTCAACACATATGATTTTCCTCCTAAGTGTTCAGCAGTTGGGAGAAGAGAACGAGTAGACAGTAGAGGTAGCCTATGCTGAAGGACATGTGACAGGAGTTATTTTCTTTTTTAACTGCTTTTTGCAATTTTTCTGCTTGAATTATTTTATTCTTTTAAAGTGATTTTTAGTTGTTTTCAGCCCATTTATAGTGTATATTCACTTGAGTTCTGCAACAGAACACAGTGAGTACATAACAGTCTGCTATGAGAACAAATATATTTCAAATATATTCTGCTTCAAAAGCCAAAATTTTAAGGGGACAGTGCATCAGTTCATCCCCATTTCATTCCTTTAATATCACAGAGCAAGGGGAACTTCTATCATATTTTAAATTTCAGACCTGTATGGTACATAGTATTTTTTTTCTACGCAGTGTTTTCAGGATTAGTTTAAGTATGTGTGATCCTTGGTTACTGAAAGTAAAAAGAAGAGTCTACAAGGAGAACCAAGATGGCGGCATAGGTTAACGCCGGAGTTTGCTGCTTTGACAACTACTTCAAAAGTGAAACCAAAAAACGGAAGGGACAGCACCCAGAACCACAGAACGCCGGCTGAGTGGAAGTCCTACAACTAGGAGGAAAGAGAAACGCATACGGACACTCAGAGGAGGCACAGTGCTGAAGTCAAATTCTGAGGTGCGGAGTGCGCGCAGCGGGCTGGCGGCGGAGGGCGCGGTTGGCGTTTTCAATCGGGAGGGAGTCGCAGACTCTGAGCTCCAGATACGGGAGAGTCTTTACGGACCCAGACTCAAACGGGAGAAGCGGGACTGTCTGGCTTCGGTCAGAGCGAGTGCAGCTTTCTCTCTGAGCTTTGCAGCGGGTGCTGGGACTCAGAGAGGCAGAGCCCCTGGGGACAGGACTGAGAGCCGCCATAACTGCTCTCTCCGGCCCACCCTGTTGATCCTGTTCGACCTGCCCCGCCCAAGCCCTGCACACAGGCATTTGCCGGATAGCCTCAGGCAAAGGCTAGATTAGCACCTCCCTAGAGGACAAAAGTTCTCTCACTGCTGACACAGCTGATTCTCATAGCCACTTGGCCTGGAGGTCAAACCCTCCCTGGAATTAGCTACAACAATCAAGATTTAACTATAAGGCTGCGAACAAAGACCACTAGGGGGTGCACCAAGGAAGCATAACAAAATGCAGAGACAAAGAAACAGGACAAAATTGTCAATGGAAGATATAGAGTTCAGAACCACACTTTTAAGGTCTCTCAAGAACTATTTAGAAGCCGCCGATAAACTTAATGAGATCTACAAGAAAACTAATGAGACCCTCGATCTTATATTGGGGAACCAACTAGAAATTAAGCATACACGGACTGAAATAACGAATATTATACAGACTCCCGACAGCAGACCAGAGGAGCGCAAGAATCAAGTCAATGATTTGAAATGCGAGGAAGCAAAAAACACCCAACCGGAAAAGCAAAATGAAAAAAGAATCCAAAAATGCGAGGATAGTGTAAGGAGCCTCTGGGACAGCTTCAAGCGTACCAACATCAGAATTATAGGGGTGCCAGAAGATGAGAGAGAGCAAGATATTGAAAACCTATTTGAATAAATAATGACAGAAAACTTCCCCCACCTGGTGAAAGAAATGGACTTACAGGTCCAAGAAGCGCGGAGAACCCCAAACAAAAGGAATCCAAAGAGGACCACACCAAGACACATCATAATTAAAATGCCAAGAGCAAAAGATAAAGAGAGAATCTTAAAAACAGCAAGAGAAAGAAACCCAGTTACCTACAAGAGAATACCCATACGACTGTCAGCTGATTTCTCAACAGAAACTTTGCAGGCCAGAAGGGAGTGGCAAGAAATATTCAAAGTGATGAATACCAAGAACCTACAACCAAGATTACTTTATCCAGCAAAGCTATCATTCAGAATTGAAGGTCAGATAAAGAGCTTCACAGATAAGGAAAAGCTAAAGCACCAAACCAGGATTATATGAAATGCTAAAAGGTATCCTTTAAGAAGAGGAAGAGGAAGAAAAAGGTAAAGATACAAATTATGAACAACAAATATGCATCTATCAACAAGTGAATCTAAGAATCAAGTGAATAAATAATCTGATGAACAGAATGAACTGTTGATTATAATAGAATCAGGGACATAGAAAGGGAATGGACTGACTATTCCTGGGTGTGGGAGATTCGGGAAGAGACTGGACAAAAATTGTGCACCTATAGATGAGGACAGTGGGTGGGGAGTGAGGGCGGAGGGTGGGGCGGGAACTGGGAGGAGGGGAGTTATGGGGGGAAAAAAAGAGGAACAAATGTAATAATCTGAACAATAAAGATTTAATTAAAAAAAAAAAAAGACCAGATAGTAAATATCTCCCAAAAAAAAAAAAAAAAGAGTATACAAATACTATTCACATCACTTTATTGGTTCTTACCCAGTTTTTCATACAGTGAATAACATATACTCCTGACATCAATAAGGACCTTTCATTCTGCATTATATAACCTGACATGGAAAATAAAAGTAAGCAATAGCCAACCTGTGCTTTCCTCATGTATACCAAAGGCTCTTTAAGATGTTCCGGAGGCACTGCAGGGTGACTAGGTAGAGGAAACCTAGGAACAAGAAGAGGCAGCTTAATATTGTACCTTACTCTTGATAATTAACTAATTCTCTTGGTTAGAAATTACTTACCTCTGTAGCCCATGTTATGAATGAAACAGACTACTTATTAGCAGTGTATGTGTTGACACAAGGTGCAACAGCCTGACAAACTTCAACTCTTACCCGACCAGTACTGTAGTTTTAGATTAGTAATTTAATTACTTGTTAAACTGCATAATTATCTGGGTTCATAAATTGAGGTAATTTAAAATATTATTTGGCTCTGTAAATGCTTATGATAATTGTCCTATTAATTTTAACACAGAAATATAAACATTTAGAGGAATCTTTTAAGAAAAAAAATCCATTGACATATTAACATATCAACTCTTATCCTTTTTCACATGATTATATATTTTTATACAGTTGAAATAATAATAGAAATATTTATTTGAATACACAGGTTTTACTATATAATACATTCATTTAAAAATTTAATAAAATTTTAAAGTTTTATGAATTCTTTCTGTTTTCTAAGTCACTTTACATTTTATATTCAAAATGTATTGTTTTTATTAAGAAAACATTTATTTAGTCAATAGATTTTTGAGCCATTCTAGGTACTAAATATATGATAGTGATTAAAACAATATCCCCTGTTCTCATATATCTGACATTCTAGTAAAGAAAGTGAATAATTATAAAAACAAATAAATGCATAGAATAACACCAGATAGTAATAGGTGTCATGAGAAAATGAGAGCAGGTAATGGGATAAAAGTGCTTTGGAAGGGTAGAGAAAGCATCTAGGGGAGCTAATATTCTAAGACATAAGTGGGAAGAAGCAGCCTATCATACAAAGATCTGGGGCAAAGGGAAAGCAAGCATAAGACCCTGAGGTGGAAACATTTGGAATGTTTAAAAATCCTTAAAAAACAACAACAAAAAAAACAATAAACAGAATGGTTGGGATATAATGATCAAGGCACAGAGTGATGTGAAATCACATAGAAGGCAATGGGATAACATGATACTCCAATCGTTTACGCCAATCTCTTTCACACACAAAAAAGGTTATTTATAGGACCTGTACCTACAGCAAAGCAACTATGTTGCATAGTCAAGAACCATACACCGAATTCTCAAGAAATTCCTCATCTGAAGTGGGACATCAGCATGTGAAGGGTTAATGACATACGAAGCCACCAGTACCTATCCCAGAACCTAAATGCGAGAGGCTCAAATGTCCATAACAAATGTTTCTAGAATAGAAAAGAGTACCCTATCCTACCTCATTTAAAGAAAGCTTCACTTACTGATTATTTCTAGCTCATTGCTTTTCCCACTAAAATCTACATTCCATATACCTGAATAAATCACCTTTCACAAAGGAAAACATGATAACCTCTAGATACCTCAGTATTTCTTATATGCAAGATCATTTTAAAAACCATTATTTCATGGTGCTCAATGTGTCATTTGTAAAGGGACATGTGGTTTAGAATTAAATATCACTCTAAAATCCTTCCACTTTAATAATAATTACAGTACTTCTAAATGCAATAAAACTTAGAAATTTAGGATTGAAACTGGGTGCACTTACTGCAGAGAGAGGGTTGTAAGATAGAAACCTGTGCATCATTCTTGACTCCTTCCTCTTCCGATCCCCTGAGCCCCCACAAATAGTTCTCAGCTTTTTCCTCCCCACAGACACTGTTTCAGGGAACCAGCATCTCTGGTCTGCATTCACCCGTCAGACTGTCCCTGCTTCCATGCCATTTTCAACCTATTTGCCAATTTGCCTGGCTGCTAGCCAGGAGCGATGTCTCCCATGTTCACCAGTGCTTGCAATCCCAGTGTCTAGCTAGCGTAATGCCTGGTGCACACTAGATAACCAGCACATTGTTGAATGAATAAAATGCAAATATGGTCATGTCGCTACTCTGCTTAAACTTTTAAATTGACACCCAAATGCTATTAGGATCCAGTCTACAACGCCTTGAGTATGAGGCACATACGTGGCTAATATCATCCTTTACCATGGCCCTTCCCCTATACCAGTGGTCGGCAAACTGCAGCTCGGCAAACCGCGGCTCGCGAGCCACATGCGGCTCTTTGGCCTCTTCAGTGTGGCTCTTCCACAAAATACCACATGTGGGCGCGTACGTACAGTGTGATTTAAACTTTGTGGCCTGCCGGAAGCCGGTCCATCCTTGCTGCTTGACACAGTCGCTGCAGGAAAGAAACATCTGCACAGCATATGTTTCAAGGGACCTGGCGTATATAGCATACTGTTCTTAATATGTTTGCTCCCCTTAGCGCTGTGTGTTTTAACCAAGGTCACCTCTCCGAGAAAGGTTGTTTCCCCAGGTAGGGATTTTTCCCTGAAGTCAGGGAGGGGATGAAACTCCTTAACTAAGTGCCAGGCGGGTAGTTAATCACTACAAACAATCATGCTTAAGCTACATAATCTTTACTCCTTGGAATGGAGATAAGAAACGCCCTAACCTTTGTAATAGAAATTGACAGGATTAAAATCAACTGGGATAAATACGGATGTAACAAGACAATAAACAGCAGAACTTCGCTGGAGATCCAAACCAGAACTTGGCTGGAGATCCTGGCTAGAGATCCTGGCTAGGCTGCTGATCAACTGAATGCTGTCTCTGTGTCATTCCTTCTTCGCCGACTCCATCCACACCTTTGGGGACCCCTGGACCTGCTGGGGTTGGACTCCGGCAGTGGCCCATGCGCAGAAGTTGGTATTTTGTGGAAGAGCCGGTATTTTGCGGAAGAGCCACACTGAAGGGGCCAAAGAGCCGCATGTGGCTCGCGAGCCGCGGTTTGCCAACCATGGCCCTATACCACCCAGCCATTCAACTTCTGTTCCTTCACTGAGCCACAGTTCCCCCTCCAAGTCTCTGAGCCCACTGTTCCCTTCTGCCTACAGCACGTCTCTTCGCATGCTGCACTGTATTCCCAGTGCCCAGAGCAGTGCTGGCACATGGCAGGGACTCAGTAAATACCTGAGGAATGATGAAATAGTAAATAAACTACAAACGCTAACATTCTAGATCTACATTTTTTGTAATGACAAATAGTTCTATAAATCTCAATGGATGCTGAGGGCAAGTCCACATACACAAAGAAGTTAATTTTTTGTATGATGTTCTTAATAATATTAATAAAGAGAAAAAGGGTAATATCCCAAATGGTAACAATAAATAGAACGTTGGTAAGCTTCAGTTTTCTGAAATAGTAACTTACAAGAAGCCCTAATTACACTGAATAAATAAATTTGTAATATAAATTTTGGTTGTTGTGCCCAGATTTCATGATTCCCAAGAACCCACAGGGAGCCAGCGAGTCCGATGCAAAAGCAAAGAGTCATTCATTTCAAACCTAGGTTTGGCTCCCCTGCCACACTCACCGATGCAACGGTAAGCTCCAGTGGCCGGAGAGAGAGAAAACTCTGTGTGGAGAGAGCTTTTATAGGGGGTTGGGGTAAGGGGAGGAGAAAAGACTGTGGGCCCTGCCGATTGGCCAGGCGCGAGTCGGTGTCTCATTACACAGGATGTGGTCATAGTGATGGCGTGCACTTCCCTTGACTATCTTCCGGGAAGAAGCTTGCTGAGCACATGGCCAAGTTAAGATGGAGGGCATAGCCCTTACCCTGGGGCAAGGTGGAGGGCGTAGCCCTTATCCTGGGGCAAGGTGGAGGGCGTAGTCCTCGCCCTTTCATGGTGACATATGAAAACTCTATATAGTTACAGCAGGAAGGCTGGGGAGGGTTGGGGGGCTGAAGGGGGTGGGTGAGAGATCAACCGAAGGACTTGTATGCATGAATATAAGCATAACCAATGGACATAAGACATTGGGGGATAGGGGAGACCGGGGGAATGTCAAGAAGGGGGAAAAAAAGGAGACATATATAATACTCTTTGTAATACTTTAAGCAATAAAACAAAATTTTTTTAAAAAAAGGAAACATTCAAAAAAAACTATATATAGTTAATATTCTCAGGCAAAACTGTAATTTTTAAAAGTATTAACTAATTTTAAATGCTATATTAATATTAATAAGAAATAATACAATGAGTATACATAACAATACTGTATTCAGCAGTTACAAAGTAAATATAGCTAAACATAGTATTTCATCATAGGTAGGAAAAACTCACACACTCAGTTCACTATAAACAGCATTCTGAAGTTTCTTCTCCCAACCTGTTTTAAAAAAAACAAAATATATAAACATATTAGTTTCAAAGATAGATATACATTATAATTAATGTATCTCACTGTAACATTATACTCATTTGTGAAAGCACTTTATCAGCTGCCAATTGCTGTGTAGTGTTATTAAGGATTAGTTCCTATGCATTCATTATATCCCTTGGCAAACACTGAGTAGCCAAGTTGTCAACATTATATTATTTTTTAAGTAAAACTATTGCACCATTTCTCAAGATGGGAGAAAAAGTTCCTTCTTCTACCATTAAGTTGCTCAACAAATGCTGAAATCTCTAGCCATTGCACTACTAGTTCAATGATGACTGTGCCTAGAGAAAAGCAAGAAAGAGCCAGGCAGCCCGGCCGGTGTGGCTCAATGGTTGAGCATTGACCTATGACCCAGGAGGTCATGGTTTGATTCCTGGTCAGGGTACATGCCTGGGTTGCAGGCTTGATCCCCAGTGTAGTGCATGCAGGAGGCAGCCGATCAATGATTCTCTCTCATTATTGATGTATCTACATCTCTCTTCCACTCCCTTCCTCTCTGAAATCAATAAAAATACTTTTTTTAAAAAAAAAGAAGAAGAAAGAGCCAGACACTTGGAAAATGCAGACCACAAGTAATCAGTTACATGAACTAGTCAGTAAACGCCTACCAGCAGAAGTGGATTATTATAAGGTACCTACCACAAGTCAGATCAGTTATCTTGGCTGATAACTACTTGAACTTTTCTGGATAAGTAAACCACTTAATATCTCAGTTTCCATGTACAAAGGTTAGAATAGGGAACCTCTCTTCTTGCTCTAAAAAGGGGGGGAGGGGGATTTTTGTTGTTGTTTGTTGAAAGGGTAGAAAGAGGAGGGAAAATAATTGTAGAAGGAAAAAAATATATACCAAAAAAAAAAGGAAAAGACAAGTTCCTGAACGAGGAGGATTTTTCATATATTCAGGATGTATTTGATCAGGAAGGTAAACAGTATTTAAAACTAACTGATGTAAAGCAGTCATTTCCTTAGTGACCCTAAATTTTTACAGCATTTATTGAAATGTTTGAAAGTTCTAATTCTACCCAAATAGAAATATATCCAGCCACTGTTTCACAAGTTTGAATGAGTAATTAGATGGGGATGAAATATTTCCTTCAAATACAGTATTTCCTTATTTTGCCTTAAAGAATTAGGGGGGGGAAAACAACTTACAAACCTGATGTTTTAAAGAATCTCTTGATATCTTCTTTTAGAGATTCAAGTTTAATATCAGTTCTCTGAAGACTGGCCTAATTTTAGAAAAAAGAAAAAGAGGTCAAGATAAGTCATTGGGTTGATATTTAATGTTAACGGAAATTTTTAAAAAGTGTGTCCAAATACACAGACTATTTAAAAACCTCGCTCTGAGGTCAGAACACCTGGGAATTAACTAGATGAGCTCAAAAGACAGAACTCTTTTTCAACTACTCTGAAATAGAGGATCTGTGATATTAAACATTTCTACTCAAAATGTAAAAACTTGTAGCTCATAGCTATCTAACATCATCTAGTGTTTTTATCTTTATGAATACTTAACATCATTTTTCCAGTAGAAAAAATACTCAGACTTCATAAGTTCATTCTCCTAATATTATACCCAACATATACAGCATCTACACCTAATGACCAAAAACCCAGTTGCATCCTTAAAATGGATTTTTGATTAGTATCTTCCTCTTTGGATTGCTGCTCAATGTGAACCTGCATTTGTTGTGCATATTTATGGGAAATATATAAAACTACTATTTCACAAATGCTTATTAGTACCTCTTTCCTCTTCAAGCACAAGCTTTTTATTCTACTGATATTTCATACTGTAATTTTTACCAAAAATATAATTTCTCGAACCTATAACGGCTTCATGACTTTCAATGTGTTTATCTTTCATCACTTAGCTCTCTCTATCAAATTCCAGAAGTCTACTTCTTAAGAATTATTTCTAGTAGAGTATCTCATAAGCATTTCAAACCTATGAAATAAAAATATTAATCTTATCTTCCATTTACTACATTGCTCCTTCTCTTCTATTTTTTAATCTTCATCCATGCAATTACTATCACCAGATCTTCCAAGTCAGAAACATTAGTTACTCTCAATTCCATTCTAACTCTTCTAAGATTTGACCCGCTTCTGGAAAGGTTGCATTGGTGACAATGAGTTGTTTTTGCTTTTTTTAATCTCCCTGATTTCCACATAAAAAGAGACCAAGCAACTCAATACCAAAAGCAACATCCCATGGAAAACATGTGCAACAAAACTTGATGATAAGATATCCCCTACAAGCCTAACATACAAGCAATAGGGGACATACCAAGGACACAAAATCTATAGTGTATGGTAGTAGCATCTGTGGAGGGGAAGCAGTGGGTATCTGATATATGTAAAAACAGAGAACTCCAAAATAGCCAACAAGTTCACTGGAACATACGATAAGCCAATTTTAGAACAGGAGCTGAAACTGAGAGGGGTTTGGCCTAATCCAGTCAAGCGGATTAGGTCTGAAGAGACTGGAGCAGCCTTCCACTTGTGAATTCTTGAAACTGACCAACCAGTGTACCGCACCCTTTTCAGACAAGGCCACCTTGAGGAGAAAATACTACCGATAAAGTAACAAGAATTGAGGATTACAGTGAACCAATTTATTACCTTGAAAACTGGTAAATAAAGGAAAAGTAATTTATCTTGCTTTTCCTATGGGAACTGTACCACTGGGCAACCAAATAGTAGATAAGAGGAAATGTCTCTTTATAAAGGAATTTCAGCTAATAACTAAAACAGATATGATATAATTAGAATATCACCATTTTGCAACCCCCAATAACTTCTAGGCATTGAGCAGAAACAGCTAATAACATTGCAAAAGACAGACACAATGTGCTTCTCGATGAAATAACATTGCTGCCAACGTCGGCGGCCACCTGCGTCTGCTCAAGCCACTGGGTCCAGCTGTCAATTTACAAGTCACACAAAGGACAGAGGAACATGTTACACTTCACCATGGGTGTGCAATCAGAAAAACCCAGGATGTGAGAAATTATAAAGGTCAAACGGCCCAGTTCTTCAGCAATAAATTATAAGGAAAAAGAAGGGAAGGAAAGGAAACCCATAGATTTTTAAAGATTTTAAAAGGCACATCAAAAAAATTTTTTGGAGAAACCAAGATGGCGGCATAGGTAAACACCAGAGAGTGCTGCCTTGCACGACCACTTCAAAAATACAACTAAAAGACGGAACAGACATCATCCAGAACCACAGGAAGGCTGGCTGAGTGGAAATTCTACAACTAGAAGGAAAGAGAAAAGCATACCGAGACTCAGAGGAGGTGTGGTGCGGAAGTAAAATACAGAGGTACAGAGGCACATGTGGAGAGGGTTGGCGGCTGAGGACACAGTTGTCTTTTTCAATCGAAGGGAGTCTCAAGCTCTGAGCTCCAGTTCCGGGCGAATCTCTGGGGACCCAGACTCATACAGGAAAAACTGGACTGTCTGGCATCGGTCGGAACTCGAGGGCAGCTTTCTCTCGGGGGTGCTTGCAGCGATTGCAGGGACACTGAGAAGCAGGGCCTCTGAGGGCAGGACTGAGAGTAGCCATAACTGCTCGCTCCACCCTGTTGATCCCTTGGGACCCCGCCCCTCCCAAGCCATGCACAGAGGCTTTTGCATATAAAAGGCCTGGCCCTTTGCAATCTGATAATTACCTAACAAACTGCAGCTGGCCCAAGGCCCCAGGGCAACTTGCATTTCATCACAGCTGGCTCCTGCTGGATAGCCTCAGGCAGAGGCTAGATTAGCACCTCCTTAGAGATCCAGGAGCCAGTGTGCCTGGTGATCAGAGTGGGACCATCCAGATTGCAGCTCCTCGGATTCATAAAGGACACATTCAGGGGGCAGACTCAGTGAGCACCAAAGCCCCATTGAAGCAAGTCTTGCCCCGGAGGGGTGTCTCCAGCACAGAAGTTCTCCCACTGCAGACACAGCTGATTCTCACAGCCAATTGGCCTGGAGGTCAATTCCTTCCAGTGATAGCTACAACAATCAAGGCTTACCTACAACAAGACTGTGCACAAAGACCACAAGGGGGTGCACCAAGAGTGTCTACCTCAGGTAATTGGGGAGGCTGAACCACTGGGCCCTATAGGACACTTAGCACAGAAAGCCACTCTATCGACACAGCAAAGCATAAAAAATGCCGAGACAAAAAATCAGGACACAAATGACAGAAATGGAGGAAAGCAAACTACTGGATATAGAGTTCAAAACCACACTTTTAAGGTTTTTCAGGAATTTTCTAGAAACCGCCAATAAACTTAATGAGACCCTCAAGAAATCTAGTGAGACCCTTGATGTTGTGATAAAGGACCAACTAGAAATTAAGCATACACTGACTGAAATAAAGAATATTATACAGACTCCCAACAGCAGACTAGAAGATCGCAAGAATCAAATCAAAGATTTGAAATACGAAAAAGCAAAAAACACCCAACCAGAAAGGAAAATGAAAAAAGAATAAAAAATACGAAGACAGTGAAAGGAGCCTCTGGGACAGCTTCAAGCATACCAACATCTGAATTACAGGGGTGCCAGAAGAAGAGAGAGAACAAGATATTCAAAACCTATTTGAAGAAATAATGACAGAAAACTTCCCCTACCTGGTGAAAGAAATAGACTTACAAGTCTAGGAAGTGCAGAGAACCCCAAACAAAAGGAATCCAAAGAGGACCACACCAAGACACATCATAATTAAAATGCCAAGAGCAAAAGACAAAGAGAATCTTAAAAGCAGCAAGAGAAAGACAGTCAGTTATCTACAAGGGAGTACCCATACGACTGTCAGCTGATTTCTCAACAGAAACTTTGCAGGCCAGAAGGGAGTGGCAAGAAATATTCAAAATGATGAATGCCAAGAACCTACAACCAAGATTACTTTATCCAGCAAAGCTATCATTCAGAACTGAAGGTCAGATAAAGAGCTTCACAGATAAGAAAAAGCTAAAGGAGTTCATCACCATCAAGCCAGTATTATATGAAATGCTGAAAGGTATCTTTTAAGAAGAGGAAGAAGAAGAAAAAGGTAAAGATACAAATTGTGAACAACAAATACACATCCATCAACAAGTGAATCTAAAAATCAAGTGAATAAATAATCTGATGATCAGAATAAATTTGTGATTATAATAGAATCAGGAGCATAGAAAGGGAGTGGACTGACTATTCTTGGGGGGAAAGGAGTGTGGGGGATGCGGGAAGAGACTGGACAAAAATCGTGCACCTATGAATGAGGACAGTGGTGGAGGGGTGAGGGCGGAGGGGAACCTGGTGGAGGGGAGCTATGGGGGGGAAAAAGAGGAACAACTGTAATAATCTGAACAATAAAGATTTAATTAAAAAATTTTTTTTTAATTGGCAAGACCAAGTTAGTGTCTATGGATATACATTTGGTTAATAAAACTATCAAGAAATGCAGGAAAGTGATTACCAAATCAGGTGGTTGGGGAGGGAGGGATTCGTGATGGGGATGGGGCAAATGAAGGGGTTTCTGGTATGGCTGGCAAAGTTTCCCGCTTTTTTTTTCCAGTTTTTTTTATTTCAAGAAAAATGATTTTAAATATAATAGTGTTACATGCAATAAACTTTAATATTTCAAGAAAATGATCTTAAATAATGTTACATGCAATAAACAATATCTCAATAAAACAATTTTAAATATGATAATGTTACATGCAATAAACAATTATTCAAGAAAAATTATCTTACATATAATAATACTGCAGGCAATAAACATTAATATTTCAAGAATAAAAGGGTTTTAAGTATAATAATATTACCAAAACTGTACTAACATATTATGATGTCACAAAAGTTGTAGGAAATATTAAAAATCTGCAAATAACAGAATTACTTCTATTATATTCTACAATATTTTTTCCCCTCTGGCTCTACTTTTGTTCATCAGTTTATGTTGTTCATTATATTCCACAAATGAGTGTGATCATATGATATTTACCTTTCTCCAACTGGCTTATTTCACTTAACGTGATGCTTTTAAAATCTATTTTGTTGGATATGAGTATTGCCACTCCAGCTCTTTTTTTTCTTTTCCATTTGCATGGGAAAAATTTTCCATCCCTTCACTTTCATCCTTTGTGTGTCTTTTTAAAAAATATATTTTATTGACTTTTTACAGAGAGGAAGGGAGAGGGATAGAGAGTTAGAAACATCGATCTGTTGCCTCCTGCACACTCCCCACTGGGGATGTGCCTGCAACCAAGGTACAAGCCCTTGACCCCCTTGACCGGAATCGAACCTGGGACCCTTCAGTCCGCAGACTGATGCTCTATCCACTGAGCCAAACCGGTTAGGGCAGGGGTGGGCGAACTTTTTGACTCCAGGGCCACAATGGGTTCTTAAACTGGACTGGAGGGCCTGAACAAAAGCATGGATGGAGTGTTTGTGTGAACTAATATAAATTCAAAGTAAACATCATTACATAAAAGGGTAAGTTCTTTTTTTTTTTTAGTTTTATTCATTTCAAATGGGCTGGATCCGGCCCTCTGGCCGTAGTTTGCCCAAGGCTGGGTTAGGGCCTGGGTATGTCTTTTGTTTTGAGGTGGGTCTCTTGTAAACAGCATATAGTTGGGTCACATTTTTGTATCCATTCAGCTACCCTACACTTTTGATTGGAGCATTTAATCCATTTACATTTAGGGTCATTATTGAGAGGTACTTATTTATAGCCATTTTAATTCTGTGTGGCTAGGTTTCTCTCTGTTTCTTCTTCTCAGCAACAGGGTGGGGCAGTTGCTTCTGCCTGGAGGCTAATTGTTACTTTTACTCTCTTAAGTGGCCTCAGGCAAGGTGTTTTCCAATAGGGTGTGCTGACTAACTTCCTCCGAGGCAGGGCAGATGTCTACGTGGGAAAGATGTCCTCTGCTGTGTGAGGGGATGACTCAGCCCAGGAAACTTGGGTGTCTGCCTTCTGAGCTCTAGCCCCCGAGTCCCCAGTCCTGGGTTCTGCTCTCGCAGCTCCAGTCCATTTCTCCCTCCCTCAGGCGGAACACAAGGTGGGTGGCTCCACAGGAAATTTTTGTGTGTTAGCCCTTTAAGAGGGTGCCTGAACTTTTAGCTGCCACTCCCTGGCAGACAGCACCCCACTGCTTTTCACAGCTAGATGTTATGTGGGTACCCTCCTCAGTTGGGTGCTTTCTGCTGGGGAGCCCAGCTTTGGGATTAGATCCCAGAGTTCTCAGTTGCTCCCCCCCGACAGCTGAAATCTCTCTCTGGGACTTCAGTTGCCATCTGTGAGTGCCTGGCCAGCCCTGACGCTCCTCCACCCCTCCTACCAGTCTCTATGCGGTCTCCATCTTGGGTATCAGGGTTCTCTCCTGTGAGTTTTCCATTGATTATTCAGGAAGCCTTCAAAGTTTCCCTTTTTTACCAGAGTAGGTTTGACAAGGTAGTTCATCTTATAATAATTCATTATATCATAGATTTGTGTAGTTTCCTTTTGTGTTTTAGTTTATGAATAAAAAAGGGTAAAAAAAGATTGAAAAAGGGTCAAAAAAGATTAAAAATATATATCTCCCAACCTATTCCCTGTCGCCATTCTAAAGTCCGCACTTAAGTCCTCCTTGTTTCTCGTTTGGATCACTGCAACAGCTTCTGAACTGGACATCCTGACGCCTTGTTAAATTGCAACTACCAACCACCCCAGCCTCACACCCCCTTATTCTGCTTTTTCTTCTTTCTTAGTATTTATCACCTCTAATATGCTGTGTGATTAACTTACTTACTATGTTCATTGGTATAGTGTCTATCTCACTTCACTGGAAGTGGTGAGCCCCACTGTCCCCACCCCACAAGGTCCCAAAAAATAAGCCTAAATCCTTTTCCGTGAGACAGCCTCACATATTCAAAATAGTTATTGTGTCTTTCCTAAAAGCCTCTCATCTTAAGCCTCATATATCTTCAGGTTCTCTAAATTCTCTTCATATCATAGATTCTTCTTACTACCCTGACCATTCTTCTCTGAGCCAAGTCCAATCTAACTTGTCCTCTACTGTAGTCACTTCCTCACTGACCTCTCTACTTCACTAATCCCACTAGACCAGGGGAGGGGAACATCCGACCCACAGTCCATATAAGGCCCAAGAAATCATTTGGTCTGGCCCTGCCAAGGCAACCACAGCCAGAACTCAAAATTCAAAAAATCTAGGAGCTTTGTTCATAGCAACATAAATTTATATTAAGTGAATGATGTTATAAATATCCAAATGGCCCTTGGCAGAAAAAAGGTCCCCTGCCCTTGCACTAGACCCTTGATTCTCAAACATCTAAGTCTAAGGATCCTCTTAAAAATTATTAAGACTCTAAGAATGCTCTAAGAATGCTTTTGTTTATATGGAGTACATCCATTGATATTTACAGCAATTGAAATTAAAACAAATAGAGCCTGTTTGCTTTTTAGTATGGCAATTTCTCAAAAAAAAAAAAAAAATTACCATATGATTCAGCAATCCCAACTCTGGGTATATACTCAAAAGAACTGAAAGCAGGGACTCAAACACATCTTTGTACACTCATGTTCATAGCAGTATTATTATAATAGCTGAAATATGGAAGCAACCCTAGTGTCCATAGTTTACCTAAGGTTTGGATAAACAAAACTAGTACATACATACAATGCAACAGAATACTATTTGGCCTTTAAAAAGAAAGAAAATTCTGAAACATTTAAAACACTGATGTGCCTTGAGGACATTATAAGTAAAACTAGAGGCCCAGTGCACAAAATTCCTGCACAGGTAGGGTTCCCAGGCCGGGCAGGTGATTAGGGCTGAACGGGGCCTTCTGGCTGCTGTCTGGGGCCTGCCTTCATTCCACACCACCCCCTGGTGGTCAGCACACGTCATAGAGAGTGGTCAAATTCCCAGTCTCCTGGTTGAACTCCCGAGGGGACACTTTGCATATTAGCCTTTTATATACTAGTATATAGATAAGCCAGTTGGAAAAAAAAAACAAACAAACATAGCAGGTCACCAAAAAACATCATTTCATTTTATGCCATTTCATTATAACATTGATGAGATGCCATAGGAAGTTAACTCTTGTTTATACCAATTAGCCTAAATTGGTTTCATTATATGTCATTTCACTTAAAGTCACAGAACCTATCCATGATGTTAAGTGAGGACTTACTGTACCATATGATTCCACTTATAACATAGTGAATCAAATTCATAGATGCAGAAAGCAGAATGGGATGATGAAAAAGTTCTGGAGAAGGATGGTGGTGATGGATGGATGCATGACAATGTGAATGTACTTAATGCCACTGAAAAACATACATTTAAAAATGGTTAAAACGCCCTAGCTGGTTTTGCTTAGTGGATGGAGCATCAGCGTGTGGACTGAACGAACTGGAGGGTCGCAGGTTTGATTTCTGTCTCGGGCACATACCTTGGTTGCAGGCTCACTCCCAGGTCTGGGTGTGCGCTGGAGGCAACCAATAGATGTGTCTCTCACACACATCAATGTTTTTCTCTCTCTATCTCTCCCCCTCCCTTCCACTCTCTCTAAAAATCAATGAAAAAAATATTCTCAGTTGAGGATTAACAACAAAGAAAGGTTAAAATGGAAAGCTTATGTATGTTTTACCACAATAAAAATTATTGGACTCTTAAAATAACAATATAAATCCATTCATTGTTTTTTGTGTGTGTTGCTTTCCTCACTCGAGGGTATTTCTCCATTGATTTCTAGAGGGTGTGGAAGACAGAGGGAAAGACAGAGAGAACTATCGATGTGACAGAAACACATCAATGGGTTGCCTCCTGCATGAGCCCTGGCCAGAGCCCAGGCTGGGAGGAGCCTGCAACCAAGGTACGTGCCCTTGACCAGAATAGAACTCGCGACCCTTGGGTCCACAGGCCAACGCTCTATTCCACTGATGTGGCGAGCCGATATATGGTTAAGCCTCGGACTGACCTGTTGGCAAAGTCACAAACAGGTCTTCCAAGTCTTAAACAAACCAATCCGAGAGGTGGCCGCTGATTTACACGCGCTGTCATTTAAAAAATAAAAATGGGGGAATTTGCCGGAAGCCAGTCCACCCTTGCTGCTTGACACAGTCACTGCAGGGAAGAAACATCTGCACAGCTTATGTTTCAAGGGACCTGGCATACTGTTAATATGGTTTGCTCCCCCTCTTAGCGCTATGTGTCTTAAACAGGACCACCTCCCCGAGAAAGGTTGTTTCCCCGAGTTAGGGATTAACAGGACTAAGGAAGAGAATAAATCAGTAAATCCCCCTAGTGTTACAGAAATACCATGTACTACTTATGAAGAACTTGGACTAAGACTTGGCAAGAAATTTGGGACTTGTTGGGCCCACATCCCCAGGGGTCTGCCCACCAGGGAAAGCACCAAAGCCTATACCCCTGGAGATCCACCGACACAGGGCAGTCCCAGGGAAGGCAAGCAGAGAGGCTGGGAGGATATAACCTTTACTGTATAGGATAATCTCCTTCAGTCACTTCCTTGTAGCCTATCAGTAGAGCAGTGACCTTGGAATAGCCCTTGTAATGGAACACAAGATTAACCTAGACAGGATTAAACTCAACAAAACTAGATAGAGACAGGATTTTTGGCAAAGGTCAGATAAGAAACAAGGAACTGTAGAATGTTACCCAAAACATACCATGATGTGATTATAGAGGCATGCTTATAGGATCAAATGGTATAAATACAGATGTAATAGGACAATAAAAAAAGAACCTGACTATGATGATCAACTGAACGCTCCCTCTGTGTCATTCCTTCTTCGCCGACTCCGTCCACACCTTGGGGAACCCCTGGACCTGCTGGGGCTGGACCCCAACACACTGAGCCAAACTGGCTAGGGCCATTCATTATTAACATAAAATAATTTTATTTAAAAAATACACCCTGTATTTTCAGAAATAAAACTTAACGAGAAAAAGAGGCACTGTCTTAGATTTTTGCAAACCTGATGTTTGGCTTAATAAAAGGCAGCTGGATTCTGCAATATTCTGTGATATTCCAACCCACCATGTCGTTTCCATTGATACATAAGAAAAAAAATCAGTGTCACACAGATTGTAACTGGAAAAGGGGAGGGTAATGTAATATCCTTTTCTAATAATGTTGATATTCTCCTTTGATAGTACACCAAAATTTGACAAGTAGTAGTTTCAATTAGTTGCAATTTTGAATTTGGTTATCAATAAATTTCATATTTTATTACATAAACATGTATTATAGATCTGCCTTACACTTTGAATCAATCTCCTATTTATACATAATTTTGTAACATTAAACATTGATCATTTCAAATATATTAACTAAGTGATTCAGTGGACACATTTCATTAAACAATATCAAAAATTAGCATTCTTTAACATCACCATCAATATAATCGAAGTCTTTAAATATTGGGAAGCCATCAAATTCACAGTGGTGAACACAAGCTTTATAGAATCTAATTTTTATTTAAAGCATGAATTTTATCATTGGTAACACATAATGGTTTTCTTTGAAATGAGGCTCACTTTATTCATTTAGAGAAAACATCTGCAAATCAACAATAGCTTGTCAATCACTCTGAAGTAAAAACGGTGTTTCAGTAAAAAAAATAAAAAAATAAAAAAAAATAAAAAAAATAAAGCAGTCCCACTTGTAAGTCAATGAATTAATTGCAGGCGTGCTTTTCCTCTTTTTTTGTGATTAATCACTATGCTTTCATTATGTTCAATTTGTAACAATGAAACTGGGGGTCACCACAACATGAGGAACTATAGTAAAGGGTCGCAGCATTAGGAAGGTTTATCTCTTAGAAACTGGTCTAAGGTTTATTTCTACCTCAGTTTCTGGCTCCTTACCCAGCCTGGCCCTGGTCCGGGCTTGGGCAGGAGGCAACCAACTGATGTGTTTCTCTCACATCGATATTTCTGTCTTTCCCTCTCTCTCCCACTCTTTCTAAACATCAATGGGAAAATATCCTCGGGTGAGGATTAAAAAAAACAAAGGTGGGTAACTTGGTCAGAAGGTCAAATCTGCAAGCTTCTCCTCCCAGGGGGTCTGGAATGAATGTCCTTTTTTTTTTGTTTTTTAATATATTTTATTGATTTTTTACAGAGAGGAAGGGAGAGGGATAGAGAGAAACATCGATGAGAGAGAAACAAAGATCAGCTGCCTCTTGCACACCCCCTACTGGGGATGTGCCTGCAACCAAGGTACATGCCCTTAACCGGAACCCTTCAGTCCGCAGGCCGACGCTCTATCCACTGAGCCAAACCAGTCAGGGCCAGAATGAATGTCCTTGAGCATCTCCAGGAAGGCCTGAGGGGATGGTGCCTCCACATTCTGGAAGGTGTTCTGGACTCTGCCCAACAGGACGAAGTATTTCAGCTCCAGCCAGATGAACCCGAAGTGGTTCTCATCGAACAGGATGAAGACTCCAGGGTAGCTCCTGGTGCAGGCGAAGCCAGGTAAGGTAACACTAATAGTTTCCACGCCATAGAAACACATCCTGCAGGTTCGGGGGTAATTCTGGTCTCGGTCTCTTGAGCCCACGCCCACAGGCAGAACAAAGGGAACAGGCTGCTCCTCCGAAGCTGCAGCGGTGGACTCCCCAACGCTGGGCTGGGCAGGGCTCTGCCAGCCATGGCCCTCGCTTTCCTCCGTCCCGTCTTCTTGCTGCTGCTGCTCCCAGATCACCTGCTCGTCAATCTCCTGGACCACGCGGGAGAGCTCGTTGAAGTTGCGGAAGATCTCGCCATCTGGCTGGTGGATGCGGCGCATGAGGTGGATCTCTAACTTATCCATGGAGTCCAGTCCCGTGATGTTCGTGACCCTGGCATACTTCCCATGGAAGCTGAGCATGGCAATCTTTAGGCCGAAGGCATCGTAGTTGCATTGGAAGAGGCCTGGCCTGATGAGGTCGTCCGGGTGGCTCGGCGGGAGGTAGAGGCGGCGGTAGGCCAGGCAGTCATACTGATAGCTGTCCTCCCGCACCGGCACCAGTCCCAGCGTCAGCACCAGCCCCCGTTTTTTCCTAAGTCTCGCTGTTAAATCCTTTCGGTGGTCTGTCTTGTTGCACTGGAGGGTGAGCCTGCCCTTCTGAATCTGCACGTGGCGGTGGTGGGGCCTGATGTGGCGGCCTTCCATGCACTTCACCGTGGCTGATTTCCTCCCCGTCAGGCGAATTCTGAACGAGGGCTTGAACTGAACTGGGCCATCCACATGGGTGTTAAGGGAAGGCCCGTACGTCCAACCAGTAATGCATAAGCCGTCCACCACGACATTAAGCAGTGTTCTATAGTCCTCAGTATCTAGCTGCCACAATCCCAAAATGTGTCTATACGGGTGGAGCAGCTTCGCATAGACTTCTCGATAAGACATACCTATCATCTCCAGGTTCTGCAAGTTTTCACGAATGCCATACTCCACCCGGCAGCGCCTTCTCCAGATGCTGTCGATGTGCAGGATGTGGTGGAATTTGGTGCAGGCCTGGGCCAGGCTGGGCAGGTCGGTGCCAGGGAGCCAGGCGAAGATCTCCACCAGCATCTCCACAGGCAGGTCCTGCATCGAGCAGTGCAGGGGCGGCATGGGGCTCGCGATTCCTCCACTCCCCGCACAGCACCATGCTGCCGCGCCCGCCTCCATGTGCTTTTCTTCCGGGGCCGGGGCCGGCTTGCCCTCAGCCGCTGCTGTCTCAGCTGGGCCCTGGCACTGCTGACGACACCAACATCCCCGCGAAGAGCCCACGCTGCAGAGACCAGCGCACTCCTCCATGTCTCGACGCATAACAGCCACCACTTGTGGGCTGCTGTGCCTCAGCCAGGCTTTAAGCTGGCTGGTCCCGCCCCAGAATCCAGCCACGCCCCCCAGGGCCTAACCACGCCCCCTCAGAGAGGAGCCAATTGTAGGACTTTATTTTTTTTAATTAAATCTTTATTGTTCAGATTATTACATTTGTTCCTCTTTCCCCCCCCCATAATCCCCCTCCTCCCAGTTCCCGCCCCACCCTCCGCCCTCACTCCCCACCCACTGTCCTCATCCATAGGTGCACGATTTTCGTCCAGTCTCTTCCCGCATCTCCCACACCCCTTTCCCCTCCAAGAATAGTCAGTCCATTCCCTTTCTATGTCCCTGATTCTATTATAACCACAAGTTCACTCTGTTCATCAGATTATTCACTTGATTTTCAGATTCACTTGTTGATAGATGTGTATTTGTTGTTCATAATTTGTATCTTTACCTTTTTCTTCTTCCTCCTCTTCTTAAAGGATACCTTTCAGCATTTCATATAATACTGATTTAGTGGTGATGAACTCCTTTAGCTTTTTCTTATCTGTGAAGCTCTTTATCTGACCTTCAATTCTGAATGATAGCTTTGCTGGATAAAGTAATCTTGGTTGTAGGTTCTTGGCATTCATCACTTTGAATATTTCTTGCCACTCCCTTCTGGCCTGCAAAGTTTCTGTTGAGAAATCAGCTGACAGTCATATGGGTACTCCCTTGTAGGTAACTGACTGTCTTTCTCTTGCTGCTTTTAAAATTCTCTCTTTGTCTTTTGCTCTTGGCGTTTTAATTATGATGTGTCTTGGTGTGGTCCTCTTTGGATTCCTTTTGTTTGGGGTTCTCTGCGCTTCCTGGACCTGTAAGTCTATTTCTTTCACCAGGTAGGGGAAGTTTTCTGTCATTATTTCTTCAAATAGGTTTTCAATATCTTGCTCTCTCTCATCTTCTGGCACCCCTATAATTCTGATGTTGGTGCGCTTGAAGCTGTCCCAGAGGCTCCTTACACTATTTTCGTATTCTTTTTTCATTTTGCTTTTCTGGTTGGGTGTTTTTTGCTTCTTCGCATTTCAAATCTTTGCCTTGATTCTTGTGCTCCTCTGGTCTGCTGTTGGGAGTCTGTATAGTATTCATTATTTCAGTCCGTGTATGCTTAATTTCTAGTTGGTTCTTTATCATAACCTCGAGGGTCTCATTAGATTTCTTGAGGATCTCACTACATTTATCGGCGGCTTCTAGACAGTTCTTAAGAGACCTTAAAAGTGTGGTTCTGAACTCAATATCCTCCATTGACAGTTTTGTCCTATTTCTTTGTCTCCGCATTTTTTATGCTTTCTTGGTGCACCCCCTAGTGGTCTTTGTGCGCAGTCTTGTTGTAGTTAAGCCTTGATTGTTGTCGGCAATGCTGGGGGTGATTTGACCTCCAGGCTAACTGGCTATGAGAGTCCGCTGTGTCAGCAGTGGGAGAGCTTCTGTGCTGGATCTCTAGGGTGGTGCTAATCTAGCGTTTGCCTGAGGCTATCCGGCAAATGGCTCTGCGCAGGGCTTGGGCGGGGCGGGTCCTCGGGGATCTACAGGGCGGGCCGGAGCGAGCAGTTATGGCTGCTCTCAGTTCCGTCCCTAGGGGCTCTGCCTCACAGAGTCCCAGCAACCACTGCAAACCTCGGAGAGAAAGCTGCCTTCGAGTTCCGACCGAAGCCAGACAGTCCCGCTTCTCCCGTTTGAGTCTGGGTCCCTAGAGACTCGCCCGGATCTGGAGCTCAGAGTCTGAAACTCCCTCCTGATTGAAAACAACAACCGTGCCCTCCGCCACCAACCCGCTCCGCGTGCACTCCGCACCTTAGTATTTCACTTCAGCACTGCGCCTCCTCTGAGTCTGGGTATGATATTCTCTTTCCTCCTAGTTGTAGAATTTCCACTCAGCCAGCCTTCCTGTGGTTCTGGATGATGTCCATTCCATCTTTTAGTTGTATTTTTGATTGGTTGTTCGAGGCAGCAATCTCCAGCGTTAACCTATGCCGCCATCTTGGTTTCTAATCTCCATCTTCCAATTGTAGGACTTTAGCAACACTTCCAAAGAAACCCATACCCATTAACAGTTGCCTCCCTTTTTCAGTGCCCCCTCCCTGTCCTCCAGCCCTAGCCCCAGGCAGTCACTAATCTGCATTCTGTATGGATTAGCCTCCAGGGATATGCCTATGGGGGCAGGGGACATTTCACATAAATGCAGTTATAATAGCTGGTCTTTTGTGACTGGCTTCTTTCACTTAGCATAATATTTTAAAGTTTTATGTATACTATATTCTAGTGTATGGGTATACCACATTTTGTTTACCCATTCATTAGTTGATGAATACCTGGGTTGTTTCCAGTTTGAGGCTCTTATGGATAACGCTGCTATGAACATTGTGTACAAGTTTTTTGTGTGAACATGTTTCCATTTCTTTTGTGTATGTACCTAGAAGTGGAACTTCTGGGTCATCTGGTAACTCTATGCTTAGAATATTGAGGAACTGCCAAAAACGTTTTCCAACATGGCCCCACTATCTTACATTTCCACCAATGTACAAGGGGTCCAATTTTTAAACATTCTCATGAATGCTTTTTAAAAAAATATAACCATCCTAGTGAGTGTTGAGTGGTATTTTATTATAGTTTAGAGCAGAGTTATTGACTGTAGGTTGACTTGACCTTGAACTCCATAAGGGAAATCTCTTCTATGCTCAGCCTTCACCCAGCCTCTGCCAAATCTCTCAGGCTCGTAGTAGGAATGGGCTCCTACATGTGAGCAAGGATGGACTTGAGTTCTTCACTTTCAGTTGACCTTGAGCTCTTCACTCTCAAGTGACTAACCTTGCTAGTTCCTTCAGTGAATGGATGCCCTCAGAAAAAAGTTCACAGGATCTTCCCACTATGAACATAATTTTCCTATGGGCTGAGACGGCTAGTGAAGAGGTTCAATCATCTTTTCTCTCCCAGGATTGAGAGAGCCAGACACACCACTGCCCTAGGAAGAAATCTGTGTAGGAAGGTCAAAGGCAGGTCCATATATCAAAGGAGAGACAGAGGTTGCTGCTATGATGAGAGTGAAAAAAAATAGAATTTTGGGGGATTAGTTATGGTTATGGGAAATACTAATTGTGCTCTGTTAACCACGACTGCCTTGTGTTGGTTCAAGAAAGGACATTCTGACCTGGCTAGGAGTTGTATGCCCCTGGGACCTGGGAATCAATCTTAAACCAGGGAGTCAGCCTTGGAATGTGGCCCATTCTCATTCAAGAACAGCCTATTGTCATGGAAAGATTAACAACCTTGTTGCCCAAAGAATGGAGTCCCACCCCAGCCTTCTACTTCCCCATGCCTGTAATCCCTACTTCCCCATGTAATCTTTGTTTTACCACATATAAACAGCTGGCTTATAGGGGGCTGCAAAGCAGATTTTTGTGGATGACCTGTTGCTCTCCCATTCTGCTGGCATTATAGGAATAAACGCTCATATATGATTCAACCCTGTCTCGGCTGAATTGGCTCAAGTAGTGACAGGCAGCCCAGACCCTTTGATTGTCCTGTTACACTATCTCTGAGCCTTTTCCCGTGCTGTTCTATCTGCTTACACAGCTCTCCCACTCCATTCACCACCCAAACCTCTACCATTGTCCTGGGACTCACCTACTAATGGCACATGATCTTGGTCAGGAAGCATCCTGTGAAACCCCAGGACTTGCCAAGTGCCTCTCCCTGGTATTTACAAAGCACCATGGGCTTAAGTGCCCATCAGTAGATGAGTGGCTAAAAAAGCTGTGCTACATTTATACCATGGAATACTGTGCAGCAGTAAAAAAGAACAATCTCTTACCCTTTGAGGTAGCATGGAGGGACTTGGAGAGTATCAGGCTAAGTGAAAAACGCAGTCAGAGAAAGACAATATCACATGATTTCACACATATGTGGAAGATAATTAACAAAATAAACTGATCAACAGAGAGGATCCAGAGGCATGGAAGCATGGAACAGAGTCTGCTTTTCCTCTTGAAAAACATCTTATTTCAATATATAGCAGAAGTGCCTTATACATACTTTCCATTTTCTCAAACAGAATATTAAAAAAAATATTTTCAAGAAATTAGATTTAATAAAACTAATAATTGTTTGCTGTTTCATCAAGGACACTAAAATAAAACTGGCTTTTTCTTTTACTATAAATGTGTGGTGATGAAGAATATAGTGACTACTAGTACATTTTGGTACCAGGTCCCTGATTGGTGCTAAGACACCAGCAGTTAACCCACTGCCATTGTTTTTTATCATCAGCACAAATGTTAGCACAGTGAAAATTTTTTTTTAAAAAAGGTATCATTGTATTATACATTATATATCTTATGTACTATCCTATGTAATCTAATAATAGACAAACATGGTAATTCACCATACCTTCGCTATGCTTCCCATCAGCTGATCAGGGCGATATGCAAATTAACTGCCAACATAGATGGCGGTTAATCACCAACAAAGATGGCAGTTAATTTGCATACGTAGGTGCAATGCTGGGAGGTGAAAGGGGAAGGACAGAAGAAGCCGCCTGCCGCTGATGGTGATCAGATACCCAGGCGGCAGGCAAGAGCCGGGAGGCAGGGCAAAGGTGGCCCCGCAGGCTGCCTTTGCCCTGCCCCTTGGCCTATGATCGGAGAACTGGGCTGCCCTTGCCCAGCTGGTGATCGGAGAAGCCAGGCGAGGCAGGGAAGAGGCGGACGCCAGCAGCCGCCTCTTCCCTGCCCCCCTACCCCTCCGCCGGTGTTCGGAGAAGAACCTGTATATTTTTTTTCAAAGTTCCTGTATTTTTAATAATTTCTTGACATGGTAAAAGAATTTTACATTATGATCCAAGGGTGGTAGGGTGAAGAGAAGGAGCAGCAGAACAATCCAAGAAACAGAAAGGGAAAAAGAAATGCATGGTGGAAGGGATATGAAGGGTGGGTAGGGGCATTGCCCAACTA